ACTTCAGTCCAAAGGTCCCTCCGAAAGATGCAGATAAGCATGCATCAAAAAGGGAGAGAACCTCGGTCGTTGGTTTTCGCCTACTGCTCATGAAGTGGGACATTGAGGTTCGCAATTCTTGCGAAGTCAATCTGACCGGGAAAGCACACTGACAAGGAAGCCAAAGCTACCGGTTCGCATTCAATTCAAGCAGCAATAGAGTGTTGTTCAGGAAGCAGTTGCATCCTCTTTGAAGTCTTTCCAACCATCACGCGCACCTGAAACCTGAAACAAGGCAGTGGCTCCAACAAAAAACACTGCATCAGTGATAATCTAGCTGCGCTTCAAACGGCGCACGCATATGTATATATATATATGCCTATATAGCAATCACAACCTGCTCTGTCACCCGGCCCAACTCTACAGAGGGAGAGAGGGTGGAATATAATGGCATATACAATACATGCTTCATAATGTATCGAGCTGATGCGGTAGTGTGAACGAGCGGGCTTATCATCATGACAATTGATGCTGGCTTTATATAATCTACATGTTTTGTGTGCCCTCTTCGGCGATTCAGGACACACCAGTCCCATAACATGTATGAAAGGTACGGGGATCATCAAGACCTTAATGATATAGTTGTGTCCAAGGGAGTGGATGCAAATATGTTTTCTTGGAGATTGTCCTGAAAAAAGAACAGGACAGGGTCGACTGAAAACAAAAAGAACATGTATGAAACACACACAAAGAGACAAGTGGGAATGGTTCCGGGCCAAACGTTTGAAGACCATGGGGTGACAATCGCACCAAATTACAAAGATTCTGGGAGACTACCATGGCTGGTGGGGGGAATTTTGGTTTTGCAACTTAGTGGCTTCATTTGATTTTACTCGAACCACCCCCTGGATTTTCCGAGTACAACCCCAAGCAAACCCATTGAACCTAAATAGATCAAACACAACTTGGTCCCTACAAGTGCCAACAAGAAACCCACTGCTAAAGCAAACAATAGGTGACAGTTGGCGCATTTTATACCTAATCACCACGCTGGGACCTGCACAACGCCTTCAACGACGGGCATTCCAGATGTTGAAGAACCAACAAATGGTTTCATCAGATGCACCACCAGTTGGTACCATCAGTTCTTCTGATGAAAACATTGGTTTCATCCAGTTGGTTTCATCAGTTGCTTTACGGGATTCCTCCTGGCAAAGGCACCATCAGTTCTTCCCAGTTCTGGCTGCATCCTGGGAAAAGCGTTCCAACCTCCGTCCCTGGACACCAGTTAGACACCAGCAGCCGTGTCCGGGGGTTCCCGGTTAGACACCTCCAAGAGCGGAAAAGAACTCGACCGAGCTTTAAGGGGATTCCCATCTAGGAACTGCCCGAAGTGACACACCAAATCCTCCAGACCCAGCAAGTTGTGCCCAGGTGCCCATGCACTCAGTACATCTGACTGAAACAGGAACTGCAACCACACTCAGAAGACAACATGCGTCTCCAGGTCAGGCACGGTATCCTCATCTTGCAAACTGCCTGTCGTGGGCAGGTCATGATATCGTTTCATCATGCGCATCCACAGCGGTGCAGCAGAAGTTGGCCAGCAAGTTCCAAGGACACCAGGGACATCATGGACCTTGGTTCCAGTGATGTCACATGTTCACACAGGAAACATGTATTCCACCTTGAAAACCTCCTGGTGGAATGAACCAACACCCTCAACATGTTGGTGGTTCATTGTGGTACTGTTCAGCCCTTTGGACTGGATGGACTTCACAAAACGCATCAATTCCAACGCTTGGAGATCAGCTGGAATAATAGCCAACAACGCCCACGAGGCAAGGGACACGAATAAGTGAATTCATTTTGTTTCGAACTCTCCCCACCTACCCGGGTACACTAGCATAACGTTGGGGCGATTGGCATCCCTGGATCCTGTGGTTTGTTGCGGTTCCGTTTGGTGTTGTCATTGTGTTGTTAGTTATTTGGTTGTTGTTGCTTTCGTTTTGGTCGTTTGCTGTGTTGTCAATGATTGCGAACGTGTTGTCGTTCTGTTTGGTGTTGTCATTTGGTGAGTCGGTTTGTTTGTTGGCCTAGAATCTGAGGGCTCGAGATGGCCTGTAGCCCAGGGAATCTCAGAACCCAAGTGGGGAACATCCCACGTCCGCCATGGCTTCGGTGTTGGCACTTGATAGTGGCCAGTGCGGTTGACTTCTCACGACTTGACGGGACATCTATGTATTGGGTGCGCCGGCTTTCCAAGCCGGGCGTGTGGTCTTGTGTGCTTCGAGGATGGCCTCCACCAGACCATGGAGGAAGATCTCGGGCTGTGCAACTTAGAGGCTGGTATGGGTACCCTTTGAAGGAAGTACTTGTTGTGTACTTGCCTTGTGCAACAAAAAAGGGCATTGATTGTGATGGAGCCAGACACCATTGGAGGAGTGTGGTGTTCTTTTCAGCCAGCCACGGATTCGTGGAGATATGCTGTGGTGCTTTGATAGCTTTCTGCAGAAGTCTTTGACGAAAGTATGAGCTTCGCCTGAGTGCCGTGATAGCTTTCACCATGTGTCGTGGTGGCTTGGGGCCATGTACTTTGGCGAATGCAGTGCAAACGAGGATCCGATTGAATTTGTCCATTGATTTGTCGTGAGAGTAGGTACCTGCATCGATTGACAGCTGGATCAGACTGTACAGACAGAGAAACGGTTTGCTAGCTGTCATTTGTTTTCCACGTCCTTTTATGTTCTATTATCCCGCGTTCAAAAAGCGGGGTAAAGTCGCCCTCCTGTCAAGAACCTGAAGCATTTTGTATAGGGCTCCTTTGCTATAATCAGGCACCCTCGAAATTGCTAAAGGCTTGTATGGTGTGGGCGCACCTGTGCAGTTGCAAGAATTCGTAATTAAGTGCACATGCGGTCACAGGCACTGCCGTCGGCTATCGTCGGCCTAGAATCTGCCTAGAACCCTAGGTCGGGCAACACTCGGGACCCTGGCAAAACCACTGGGTCAGACCACTCGGGACCCTTGTCCCACTAGAATCGTGAATTCGCAGCAAGACGCAGCAGGGGGATGCCCCACACCTGAAGAGTGCTGATATCAGCAAGGACGCTTGCTCACGTACCATTTGTTTTACGGACCTTCTCCCCATCCCGTTCTGCACAGGGCCTTCACCAGGTTTCTGAGGTTGTTCTTGCACTAAGTCGATCGAACAATGTTAATGCACTCTTGGAACCACCCTGAATTTATGCTCTTACGAGCTCCTTTTCAAGTGTGTGTGTGTGTGTGTTGTGGTCACGTTTGGCATTGTCATTGTGTGATGAGCTTGTTGTTGCACACTGCTTTGGCTCCATTGAAATGATAAAAAAAACTCTTCACACCTTGATGCACATGACATGATTCCCCTGCCGCACCGACATTATTCTGTCCATCAAGATCGCGAAAGTGTGCTGGTTTCAAACAAGGCAGTTGAGCACCCAAGTGAATGGTCATACCGTCATACCTATGGTCATACCACATGTGGTAAGAGGTTCAAAAGGTAGTATGATCAGGACCCAACAAGCTAAGGGGATGAACAAGAACTTATTAGTGATAAAACAAAAAAAACAATTCCCGCCCCAGGGTTGCTCTGAATGCAGGTCATGATCACAGAAAGTTTCTGCATACACAGAGGGACAAGTCTTCTAGGTGTCCTGCCTGTTGTGTGTTTCTGGGTTAGCAAGGCGTGTTGTCGGGTTAAAGAAGGCTCATGGGTCAAAAGCTGATCTGGGGGCTCAAGAAGCGAAGCCCAAGGACCAAGGATTAGATAAAGTCTGTTCCTGGAATTGACCCATGACTTGCTTTGAAAGGTTTTCTTAAACAAGTGTTTAAACACCATACCCGTGTTAATCTTTTTCAATCCAGGGTCAAAAGCGCTGCCATTTCCTCCTTCCCTCCCTCCCTCCCTCCTGGCCATCAGTCCGTACGTCCTTCCTTCCTTGTATATGTGTAAATCCTCATAATGACTTTGTTGTTGATCAGGCTTAAGCTTATATTTGTTTGATACCAATGCCGATATGATATGCGACATTGACATAACCTTTGAACATATTCTAAATCCCACCTTGTCCTTCAACGATTCAACAATTTGATGGAAATTGGCAGCATAGCTGACAGTGCCAAATATCAAAGACTGTCGCTCAGTCCTAGATCTAACTTGAGATCTGACCTTAATCTATATACACACACACATTCAACTAGTTCACTTTCGGGTTACAGGAGCATGAGTTCCAAGTGCCAGACTGCATTGGCATTGAGTTCTGAGCAACCATTGCAAGGAGCAAACAAGAGGTGCGCTAGCCACGATGAGAGCGCCAAGTGACTTTTAGGATTCAACAACAGTTCAAAACGGTGTTCATTCTCTTATGATGTGAGAAACCATCTGATCTATAGCCGAACAACTCGTAAAACATGGTTTATCCCTACTATTACTGAACTAAAAGACATATTGATTGGGGAGTGCACTGGCCACTGCAAGTCTTAAAGACTTTCTTAGGACCTGATTCATCCTGTGTGTTCGAAGCCTGATTCATCCTGTGCCCAACGCTTGAAAAGAGCGCTTCATACAAAGGATTCTGCAATTGAGCCCAAGGCTGACTGACTGGCTCACCAATGCGGATTCTGCAAACAAATCCCAAAAAGCAATCAACAACTCCGGAGTGTGTGGTATTTGCTGCCCTCCAAAAAGCCGGTGGAGCAAGTCGGTATTGCAAGAGGAGATTGGCCCTTTGCGGATGTTTGCTTTGTGGTGTCTGGTCTTTTTGGTTTGTGCAAGTACTTTTAGCATTGACAACTATGGCGAGGTGAGTCTCCTACACTGCACGATTTGTCCATTGAATTCCATCAATATGAGTTATATGCCATTCATTTGCAGCAGGCAGGGGTTGCCAAATGTTTTTTGATCCAGGGCACATCAATGTGTTCCTTTTCCACACTCTCCATCTGTCCTCCTTTTCCAACCCTGCCTTTCGGCCCAACTTTTTCCCCCAACTGCACGAGTGAACGGGCGCAGCGAGCTCAGCCTTTCCCAGCCGCAGCGAGCTCACTGAATGCGGTCCAAGTAGGGATGGTAAATGCCACCTGGCCATTCCGGAAGCGCATCCAGTGCCTCGAGCGACTCCTGCGGATTCTTTCTGTGGCGCAGCTGGCCGTTCGGCAACTAGGCCAGTCCCAAACAGGTCGTGAGACTGGGAATCAGAGAGTCCGAGTGTTTCGACTGATCGAACTTGAAAACGGAGCCCGACTATCTGCCAAGAAATGAGACACATTCTTCACCCTTGATCTTGCTTGTATAGTATTAGAAAGAAATGGAAGCAGCACTGGCACCACTTGGTCACTTTTACCCTGCCTGTTCCTGCAGGGTTGCTTCAAGCCATGATCGAATCCGCTGTTACGCTTCAGTCCATCGAACAGCTGGCCGCCCTGTCCTTGCTCAGTGGCCTGGACTCTTCCATCTCCAAGAGCTCTTGCATGTGATGAACCTTGGCAGTGGTTGGGATCACGTGCAAGCCCTTCTGCAGCGCCCACCTCGGCGCACGTTCACGAGTTGCGAACCGGTTTTGCGCCGCTCGCAGCGGTTTCCGGCAGCTCGGGTTCGGTGGGAACTTGGGGGGGGAAACCGAAGCAAAGCCGAAGGGTCCGGAGCTTCACCACCCCCGACGTGTTGCTCCCCTTTTCGATGCGGCCATATATTTGCCGACAAAAAAAATCATCCCCAAATCATCCACCTGGAGTCTCCCTGAGGACTCTTATTTTAGGCCGGGCCTTAAAAACATGTTAAGGACCTTTTTATGTTGTTGAGGACCTTTTTACAATATAGTTGCCTGGCCCAAAATAAAGACCTCAGGGAGACTCCATGAGAGATTTCAGTGTGTCACGAGCAGTGGCTCAAACATGAAGCCCATGCTTGTGGTCCCCGTGGTGCCGTGGAGGAGGTGCGCTCTCTCACACTCTTCTCTCATGTGCAGTGCAGTGTTTATTGATTGTTGTGCAGTGTGCAATTGATCTCCTCTCTCTCTCTCTCGTATTGCCTCAGTGCATCTCACTGCTCAAGTCACGAGATTTGCGTTCTCTCGGTCAATGACCATGAATGCCACATTGCAAACGGTGATTTGTCGGGTTGAACCGGACTGTGGCAACCACGGTTTGTCTTCTTCTGGCGACTTGTGAGGGAAGGGCACACGCGTTATTGAATGTCCGAGGACCTTTCTAGTTTCCAACCCAAACCGGGTGCGTCCGAGAAACGTATTTCCACGACCGAAACGCGTATTTCGGCGACCGAAGCGGATGCGTCCGACCCGTCCGACCCCGTCCACGCGTTTTTAAAGCTTTGCTACTTTTTTTGGGTTTTGGATGGTTGGGTGCCCCGGTCAAGCCTCAAACTTGGATAGATTGAGTTCCCTGTTGGTCTATGAAATGGTCTTCTAATGTGCGGGGTGGATGGTTCAAGGGAATGGCTGATGAACGTATAGTACATGAACACTTGCTTGCATGGAGCATGCATCGGACTCTCGGCGCGTGTCTCTGCTATAGGTTTTGTGGCTGGAAGCCCCCATGCTTTCTAGTGGTTCGGTTTGGCAATGGCAAAACGTGTGCGGTCCCTGGCGTCGGTCTTGTAGGATTCAGAGTGTACAGAATCACCAGTGTGGGATTCAGAGTGTACAGAATCGAGGAAACTAAGGCTGATTGGGCCATCTGCAGGTTACCATCAACAACCATGATCCATGTATCAGGTACCTTTTCTGACAGGTTGTTCCTTTTCTTTTCAATTGGGCCTTTTAAAAAGGTCCTTTTCTAATACTATACGCCAAAAAAAAGGCCGGAGGAGACTCCAGGCAGATCTATATGGTTTATTATAGCTTACTTCGCCCCTCCAAGCCTCCAAGCCTGTGTCTTCGATCATTCTAGAGATTCAAAAGAAGGTGCGGGGATCAATATAGAATGGACACAATGGACCATACAAGTGGTCCAAACGCCTCCAGTGCCTGAAGGTCACTCCGACCACAGCTGACTCGTGGTCTTTCGGTCTGGTTCATGGACCCATTGAACACCTGGGGAAGGAAAGAACAACAACAATCATCAACAAGATGATTGAAACACAACCATTTGGTCGTTTCTTTGGGGTTCCAGCTTGAATCAACTTGGCAAAACCATCGAACCGAACTCTCCCCCATCTCTCACCAGCTCGGTAACGCAAAGGCCAGGTGGCTTCAAGAGCACCTGAGCCTTTGAGATGCCCTCGCGTTCCGCCAGCGCTTGGACCAGCGGAAGGTGCAGCAGCTGCTCTTTAGCCTCGGACAGGGTGCTGCAGCGGCCAGAGCTACCGCGGTGATCCCATCACCAGTGGGTGGGCCTCTCTCCCGAAAACGGTCAGGTGCGGCCACTTGGGCCCCAGATGTATACATACTGCTCCAAAGTGGAGAGGGCAATGAATGATCACCTCACAATGGCGAATGGAAACCACCTCTTGATTTGAAACTGTATGTAAGCAATCCTGGGTCTGGTGCTGTCTGCTATCTACTTTATCTGCTCACAAGGTGTCGGAAAACCGCAAGAAATGGTTCAACGATTCAGTTTGAAACAGGTCATCTTGAAAACTTCATGACATTTCCAAAGAACATGCACATCCGATAGAAAACCTTGATATATGAGCACATATGCAAATGCATGTCTTTTGGGTCTCATCGCCGGATCGTCCCCGGTCGAATCGTTCCCCAGAGAAAAAATCCCGAACTGGGAGACGTCCCCCGTTGTCTCACCGGGAAAGCAAAAAAGAGACCTCACCCGGAAAAGCAACGGGGAGAATTGGAAGGTTTCTTGGTGTACCGTCTTGTTCACCGAACCCGAAGAACATCAACTTATATAAATCAACTTAAGTCCGCCCGCACCGAAGGTGCCGAGGCGTTTTTTTAGGGCACGCGCTATACGTAAGCTAGCATATGCAAGCCAATAGCTTTAGCTAGGGGGGGCATTTTCGCTCTAGAATCCTGTGTTTTTTCACGTTTTTGGAACCGGCTTAAAATGCTGGAAGATGAACTCGTGCTATTTTGAAGCCCCTGGCGATGCAAGAAATGCAATTTTCTTCCTTTGCATGATTTGAACCATCTGAGCGGTAAAGTGTAATTGGACTGAGGCCGGACATTTGGCTGAACAGGCTCCCCTAACGTGGCTCAATATAGCTTCCATATTGCCTAACATAGCCCTAGAAGTCACTATCTAACGGACGTGTCTGCGAGATAGGGACTTGAACGCAAAACATGGCCCAACCAAGGCTCAAAAGGGACAAGAACCCGTTCCAGATCGTGTCACTTCGGGAAGCTCTCTAACCACTTACCCGACCCGCAAAATGGCTGCAGTCTTTTAACCCACAACCACGATTACTTGAAAAAGCACTCTGACTCCAACGAACTCTACCAACGGCACCTGTTCCGTGACCATAGTGACTTCTAGGGCTATGTTAGGCAATCTTGAATTTATTCCAATCCATTTTGAGCCCTCGTTCAAGTCCCTATCTCGAGGAAGCATGCTTGAGATAGTGACTTCTGGGGCTATGTTCGACCATATGCAAGCTATGCTCGTGAGAAAATGTTACCGTTCCTGGAAATATGGAAGCTATGTTTGGTCACGTTAGGGGGGGTCTTTATTCCAGTCCCTTTTGAGCCCTCGTTGGGCTATGTTTACGACGTCCACGGCCCTATCTCGCAGACACGTCCTTTAGATAGTGACTTTTAGAGCTATGTTAGGCAATATCTTTACTTTATTCCAGTCCCTTTTGAGCCCTCGTTAGAAAATGTTACCGTTCCTTATCTCTGCTCCTGTTGAGCCAAATATCCGGCGAACATCTCGAGCTACCTGCGGAAAAGATACACCAATTTGCGACGTTCCCACATTCTAGCGCTATGTTAGGCAATATGGAAGCTATGTTCGGCCACGTTGGGGGGGGTGACTTCTGGGGCTATGTTCAATGGAAGTACCTACCTTGACCCGTTCCTGGAGCATGACTGCAGTCTTTGAGCCCTCCCATGCGGTGCGGGCGGTTACCGTCGCGAAGCGACGTGAAATATTCAACATTCAACATGCCTCTCACCAGTTCTCCATGTGCATGTATGGAATATTTTTGGAATGCCATCACACACAAAGTTGTTGCATATGAAGTTATGAATAGTTATGGATATATCATGATATATCAAACACCACCGATGTCTGTTTAGGTAGATCTGCAAATTCACCGCTTTGCATTGCATTCCCAGCTGTTAAGTATGGGGAGGCATTCTCAGTGCATCCAGTCCTCTCCAAACAAATGGTGTTCACAGTGTTTGAACAGGTTATTTCTTTGTGTGACTGTAAACAAGAATAAAACAAGTTGTTGAGCATTATCTACCTACCCTTCCCCGATAATGCTAAGAATCTGCTATGATTACCTCCATTTGCCAGGTATCTCCTCGCCAAGAGTACACACACACAACAATAGCACAACTTATTGTATATAGGACGTGTCTGAACGTTCCACAACAATCCTGTATCTTAGCCTTCTGTCCGCATTCCCGAACGCATGAAAAACCGACGCATCCCAAACGACCCAGCCAAAATCCTCCGGCCTCTGGGCTGCCCAAAGATCCAAAAGCCACCAGGCTGATGTTCCTCGAATCGAACCAAAGGCAGCGCCCGAAACCCGGAAACATGCTCTGAAAGACTTGCTCTTCTTTCGTGAACATGCTGACTCATGGCATGATGGGCCATGACCATTCAGTCATCTCCAGAAGTCTTGTTGCTCGTTCTTTCGCCTTTCTTGACACCAAGCGCCGGACGATCGTCCCCCCCCAGAAGCGGCCAAAGTTCCACAGGCGACAGTATCTTCGCAGCTGCTCTTCCCGCTGCAAGGGATGGACCTCGTGTTGCAGCACGTCCGGTGGCCACTTCCTGGGCGCCGTGAACCCAGGCACTTTTCGTCCACGGGGTTCCCCCGCGCGTGGGCGGACCGCCCAGGAGACGACAGTGGACACCGCATTCTTGTTTTGTGATGATGCTTGGTCCGACTTCTGTGCCTGTGTTCGGAGTGCAAACGCCTTGCCTTTGGAAGCATCATAGGGATCTAGTCGGTTGGAGGGGACAGTGTAGGATTTGCACATCCAATGACATCCAAGTTTCTTGTAGGGCAAAGAAACCTCCTTCAAGTCCAAACGTAACCTCAGATTTGGGCAAGGAGGGCGAGCTGGCAATCCAATAGTGGAGGTGTTCAAAAAGAAAACAACTGTCCCACCCCGGAAAGGACCCCCGGGTCATTTCAGTCCAAAAGACTAAAGACACATCTTTCTTGGCAACACCACTCCAGGATGGATAAACCTGAAGAGCTGAATCTCACTGGTCTCAACCCTCAAGCTAGAGCCTTTCGGAATGCATGCTCCGGCGGCATGTCTGCTTCAAAGTAACGTCTTGATATGTCTTGATACCCTGGACCCTGGTTATGATCATGATGGGGCTCTCAAAGGTTGAGAGTTTCTCCCTGCAGGGCACGGTCACATCCTGCAGGCATCGAACTTCAAAGCTGGGAGGACATGGGAGGACTATATTTGCAGGCCCACCCTCAAACCATCCAATTCCCCTTTGGCCCCGCCTCCAATCGATGGGTGGTGCAGGATGGAGACGTCTGCTTCTCAGATATCTTCCCCCTTTCTAGAAACCATCAAATCCACGCCGAGGGCTCCCCAAGCCTTTCGCACACAAAGCAAACCTTCGTGGCATGAAGACCAAGTGACTCCTCTAGGTGGCGCTTCAGGAAATTGGACACACCAATCCCACTCACAACACCTGAGGCTCTCAAAAGAGCTAAGGCCAAGTAGGAGTCCAGTCGGCACTTCCTGGAGCGACGTCTAGTTGGACCCTCATCTGTGGCTTGACTGCTAAATCTCAATGAACGACTCGCCATGGCCATCCACTGGTCAAAACCCTAGTCCCTGGCTCTTCCGTGTGTTGTGTGTGGAGGTTGAAACAACGAGATGAAGAACAAGAACCACAAAATACACCGCATGGAACGTGCTGCTTCTCTCCGAGGCAAGCAAAAGGGAATGGGGATGGATGGGAACATTGAACTTGAGGGAACATTGGAAGAGTACCTGGATGTAGTCTCCTAACTTTTGTTCATCCTGGAAGTCCACAATTGTCTTTCTCCAGGATAGATAGGCAACTAACGCCTTTTCTTCTCAATGGGTTTTACAAATGCAAGGATCTTATCAGGAAAGCTTGATGAATTTCACCAATCTTTGCTCTACCTGTGGAGACACCCCTTGAGGAAGATGCATGTGTTTTCATTTGTTTGCATTCTTCGACCTGGTTCTCATCCTTCGTCAAACGTGAAATCTCTCTATCGACGTCGTCCCTCCTCCAGCTATGGATTTGCCCCGGGATCTGACAGCTCTCCGGCACTGTCTTGGCGAAGGGTTTCCCTTCAGGCGTGGAGCCCGGCAGATGCAGCAGAATGACCTCTCCCGTTGCTCCGAGCCGGGGGAAGACGAACCGTTGAAAACCATCCCGGAAGCGTTGTCGCGCAGCAAAATATGGAACACATCTTAGACACAATTTTCAGTGTTTCGGTGTCCCCCCTCGATTCTAATGCAGTCTCAAAAAAAATCTTCTGCCCCACAACAAGAACGGCCCCCCAAAAAGAAAGCAAAAGGTGTCGTTTTATGTTTGTGGTTTTCGTTTGGGGCAACACCCAAAAAGTAACAGCACCTCAAACACACCTAGCATGCCATATGCCATCCAGCCACCACTTGTGCCACTCCATCCAATTCTAGCAGTGCTTTGCGTGCAGCCTCCAAGGATGCTTGGAAACCCATGGGTTTGATCTTCGTCGTCACCACCAAATCTTTGGGTGGAATACCTCGGCTTCGCTCGCACCGATTTCCGAAGCCCCGGCTCTGCGGCAAAATCCACCGGAGCTTCAAGGCCAAACCGTTTGGGGTTCGAAGCCTTGCGTGTTGAAGGGCCTGTTGGTGTTTGAGATCAAAGAGGCAAAGCTGTGCCTGACTCAGGTGCAGCTACCTCTGCGAGACTAAGTGTCGCTAGCTCAGATTTCTTGCAGTTTATACATATCTGCAAAAAACAAACAATACCTAAAACATGTGGTATACCTTGATCCCAAAAAAAATCATTGAATCATCCAACCTGTTTCTCGCAGCACGTGCCATTTCAACAACTGACGTCATCCTCTAGTGCTACCTCTGAGAGGACTGTTCTTTGATGATCAACAGGTGGTCTGAAATGTCTACAAACCATGTTTGAGGAGGTGTTGCTTCCAACAACAACAACAACAACAACAACATGTACTTGTTTTTACAAACAAAAGCTGCAGCCCCACCAACACACATCTTCTTACTTTGTCTCTACCACCTCCTAAAAACAAAGCTAAAGCCCCACAGTTGCTTTTTTTCTTCTCCAAAACAACAAGCCAGTACTAGTACTAGAAGCACTTATATTGAATTGTTAATACTATTAGTAGTAGTGGTGGTGATGGCAGTGGTAGGAGACGAGTCGTCTAGTAGTACGGCTACCACTACAAATGCCACTGGGACTGCAACCGTTGCTACTACTACTGCTAGTCCTCCTACTACTACTCCTGCTGCTGCTGCTACTACTACTTCTACTACTACTACTACTATCAATAGGGACCCCTACCAAATCCCAAAAAAAACACAGACTGCAGAGTAACTGCAGCCACACTGTCGTTATTTGATCCCCATCCCTGCAGAACAACACCTCAAAAGCACTAAGAACGGACCAACCCAGACTTCACTTACGAAACCAACATCCCAGCAAACCTTCAACCGTATCCCTAACCTTGTCCCCTTGAAGTTCGAGAGTTGCAAATTGTGGCAACTATGTGGACAGCTGTGTCTTGTTTCTACCAACCACCACCACCACCACCACCATCAACAACAACAACAACAACAACACCAACACCAACAACACCAACACCAACACCACCAACATCACCAACACCACCAACACCACCAACACCACCAACACCACCAAAACCACCAACACCAACAACACCACCAAAACCACCACCAACACCACCACCAACAACAACAGCAACAACAACAACAACAACAACTACTACTACTACTACTTCTTCTACTAGTACTACTACTACTTCTGCTTCTACTACTACTACTACTACTACTACTACTACTACTACTACTACAAGCACGACAACCACAAGCAACAACAACATTATCCCGAGTACCTATTTAAAAACGGACCCTATTTAAAAAAAGTCATGTCGGATCCCCCTAAATACGATTTATATGTGTTTTTAAACTACCGCCCTTTCAAGCCGCTACTAAACTATCAACATGGCCGATTTTGGAGGAGTTTTTCTTATTAGGTTCCAAAAACAACCGTAACTGCCCACCCCTGACCGCCCTGTCTATCCACCATGACACGCTGCGCTTACACCAGCAGGCTTTCCTTCCCCCAATGGCACGGACTCACGCAAACGCACTTGCCCCCGAGGTCATGCAACACCGCATGGCACAGCGACATCACCTTTCGAAAGCTTTAGTTTTTGTAGGGGAAAAGGAAGACCCTTCGATCTGAAGGTCTTTTGCATTTTTGATACGAGTTTAATAAAGGAGTTTATATAAACTTTTACTGGATTACCTTTTGGTTTTGAAACTCTTTCCAGGTGACCCTGTTTTGGACCCCCCGATTTCAGGGACCCCCTATTAGAAAAAATGCGACCGAGGTTTCCTTATAAGGGGGGGGGGCCTCGTGTTTAATAGGTGGAACGGATTATTTTCCACTCTCCTTCTGCTTGTGGGCCCTCTCCATCTGTACCAATGGACGCCTTGAGCCACCTCAGCCCATCCGCCCATCCGTGCCTGTGTTTCGGAGAGCCAAGGCCATGAGCTGCTGGCTGGTATAGCTATCTGCAGCATCGAAATGCCGGCCACCCAGCAGACCAAAGGAGACCAAGGCTGGGGCAATGGCCTGAGATGATAAGTGGGGTATATGTATATATATATATTATATATATATATAGGACTGACTGCTGTGTTGTTTGGGTTGTTTTTCCTGAGGGCTCCTGGATGGCAACTGTAGTCGGTGGCAAATGGTGTAGACGAAAGGATCCTGCAAGTGTATCTGCCAACTATGACTGGGTTTCGGGATGAGTAGTAGCTCATGGATCAGGCATGGCAATCATGGGGTGCAGGGTATAGTCTTGCTAGGTGCAAGGCAAATCTGAACGTTTAGAAGGGTTTGGAGTTGAGAAGGGCTGTGTATGCAGCATAATGCATCCTGGAGCTTTCTGGATAGTGCTCGAGTGCACAATGCCCATCCAGTGTGCTACACACCAACCCTATCATACCCGCTGAAATAGGCCGCAAGATCAAGCACCCACCCAGGACTGTTCCGACGAATCCCCAGATGGGCACCAACCCAGATTCGATATACCTCCATTTTGCATGATGGAATGTCGATGGAGTCTGATCTTCTTGGGGCTTGGAATCGCCGCCAGCGGTTCGGTGGTTCTGGCCTCATGAGGCCAAATGCGACCAGTGCCCAAGCCGACCCGTGGCAAGGGAAAGGGCGCGGTCCATTTGCTTCCTGAGCACATAGAAGACTTGGCGCCAAAAGGCACTTCATAAGGTATTGAACGGGTCCGCCCGGTCAGCCACCACCAGAAGGTGGAGTCATGTGGAGTCTATTGTCATCCCTGTGAACATCAGAAAGAGAACAAACATGTCAACACTAATAAACTAACTGGTGCGACGAAAGTAGGGAATGAGGGCTGGATCCAAAGGAATCTCTATTGGGGCTCACCCTCATTCCCTACTTTCGTCGCACCAGTCAGTAAATGGGATGGATGAAGTATGATGAATTCATGCGTCTCGTGTCCCGGTCCTGTATTCTGATGATGTGGAACATCGTTCAGGTAGAAAGGATGGCTGGTTCAAGACATTGGTCAACCAATTATATTTTAATTGCTGTGCATAGTAAGTGCAAACCGAGTGCCGGGTTTTGAAGCAATCCTGTTGTATAGTAACTATTAACTCAACTATAGTAGCATCAAACGACAGTAAATTTCCAAAATTAAAACCTCCAAAATAATGTTGTAAACTATTGCATTTTTCAACCACTCCTCCCTGTGGGAAAAAACACATCAAACCATTCAGCTGCCAAACATCTTACTCAAGCTTCTCAGCTCCAAGCTTCCCAGCAAACTACTTCTCACGGTGTCGCTGTTGAATCTCTGACGTATCGTCTTGGCGGCTTTCAGCTGCCGCTCCAGCGCCAAGGCATAGGCCCCGGCCACGTCGATGCCATCGATCTTCGGACCCATCATGACCTCAAACCGAGTCGAACGGGATCAAACAAGCAAGAAACCTATATGTTCAAGAGGGAAACCATGGATCCTCACATAGAAGTAGCCTTTTGGGGTATGTGTGGGGTATATGTCAATGTTTGATGGTGTTGGTCACTTTCACAAGTCTTTTGGGGTGAATAATGAATATGTTGATGCCCATCCTTCTGAAACGGATCTAATGACTTTCTGTCATGCTGAATTCTGTCATGCTGAAGCTGGTGTTTGTAAACCGCTGTCAACCCAATCAACTGAGCGATCAAGCAACGCGCTCTTCGCTGGAGATGTCTCGACATCGTCACCTGCTAGAGTCACTTATAGTTGGATTCAACCAACCCTCCGTCCGCCAGCCGTTTTCAGCCTCGTGCAGCGGATCGTCGATGTGTATCTCATCGGCGATGCGCGCGTGGTGAAAGCGCAGCTCCACGTGCCAACGGACGTGCTCCGAGGCGTTGTCCATGGGAACGGTGAAATGCACCGCGGACATGTTGTGCAGCATCACATCGCCCGCCTGCGCCTGGAGTCGTGAGTCAGTGCTGTGGGTCGAAAACTGGAGCCGTCTCACTGGAAGCAAAGCTGAAGAAGAGTATAGAGTATAGATGTATTATAGCAGTGTGTGTGTGTGTTTTCTTTCGCACCTTTTCGACTGCTTCACGGGTGTTCCGCAGCTATCGATATATATATATATATATATCTGTCAGTACAGCAATCAACATGTGTATACGTTCATAACTTTTGACAACGTACAGCAATAAATGTGACGCAGAATCTTTAACTTTGTAGAACTCAAATTTGATCAAGCAGCCTATCTCTGCCAGGGCATCCATCCCTAGTGACCTAGTGACGCCTGGAATCACTCAACTGTCAAGGAAGCAGGCATCTGGCACAGACTGAACTACCCTGGCTGGTGCAAAGATATATCTACAATAGGATCAAACATGTGTTTATGGGTTTTTGAGGAACACTGAAGAATGTTATATATATATATACTTGTAATATTGTTTCTGAAAACTTGGAAACTCATGGACCATGTACGGCCTCCTGGGCATCCCTCTCCCCTTGCCCTCAGATGGTACAGCTCCTCTCACCATCCCTTCTTCTCCTACCACCACCTCATCCACACCACCTGCACCAAGCCGCTTCACCCACGCAGCTCAACTCATCTCTACCACCTACACCATCGCCTCCGCCACACACGCGAAGAACCATCCGAAGGTCCCGGTTGGACCGGGACGGATGCCTTCATCACCACGTGTGGCAGCTTTTGAGGCAGATAGGCCATCGCTCCGGTGACCCGATCCACATCCACCAAGGGGATCCAGGTGGTCACCGACGCATCCATGAAGCGCGCTCGGTCCTTCGGCCGGTCGTGGAAGCGGGTCTTCCAAAAGTGCCAGTCCCGGTGGAAGGAGACCTGCGAGGGAGGAAGCAACCATGCGTGCTTGGACCAGGCATGACCAAGCTTTCGGACCGGAGGCGGTGTGGAGGTGGGGAGGTGGGGAGAAGGTTGAAGTCAAACCTGTGGAAAAGGTCGTACAAATGGAATGTGCCTTGAGTTTTAAAGGTTTCAAGCAATGACAGCATGGAACAGGAAGTGATCAAGGAAGACAGGTGATAGTGATCAACATGATACAAATCAATAGTTTTCCCCATGCCCCAAAGAAACAAACATGTGATATATGTGATGGATCAGGGTGTCTTGGTCTGGGCCCCAAGCAATATCACAGTTTACTGTTTATCATACAGTAAACTAGATCACTAGGAGAGTCCGGCAACAAACTACACCTTATAAATATGTTTACAATAATAAGAATACTATTAATTATTATATATGGGTCTTGCCCCTTGCGTGCGCCCGTGCCCACCTGCTGTTGCGAGGCACCCGGAACTTTTGGTGCCAGCTTAAGATGAGCATTGAGACGTAGGCCAGATGCTGAGGAGAACGGCAACTTCACCTCCAAACAGCTTTCAGAGGTGGGCACCAAAGTCATTTCCCACTTGAGTGATTTCGCACAAAGCTGCTGGAAGATCCAGCTTTCTTTAAGGGGAGTATCTATATAGCTCCAAATGATCAGCAGTCCCTAAATAAAACAGGTTTCATGATTTCAAAGGAACAGAATCGTGTTTCTCTTCATTTGGCCGGCCCTCCCAACCCCAACGGCACGGGGAACCGCCCAAAAAGGCTGAAAACCGGGAACCTCCCGAGCTTTCCGAAGCCATTAGTCCCGTCATCACCTTGGAGAGCACGCTGGTCTCCTCTAGCAGGCCCAAGACGCACGCGGCCGCCACCGAGGCGGACATGATCGTCGGCCACAGACCGCGGATGGCGTGGAGCACGTGGCCGTTGTGCACCAAATCCTCAGCCGGTACGCCGGGCGCATGCCTGCGGATGTGTATGTGAGCGTGTGTGTGTGTGTGTGCCAAACGTGCGGACCGGATCAGTAACCGAAGAACCACCGGAGAGGTGAACATGAAGAGTTTTATTCGAATCAATCATGCACTGAAAAACCCAAGCACCTAATATCTGTGGGGGGATAATGCGCCACTTGGAACCCTTGTGGTGGTCATGTGCCTTCTTCAACCTCCATGTTAATCACTATCCTTTAAATTTGTCATGGCATTTGGTCCCGAATGCCACATTGAGGAGCCGCCAACTTTAAGAAACAGGCATCGCCATGCGCTGGAAAATGCAATTTAAAGAATTGACTTAGTTTTATTAACATAATTTGACAAACTCAACATCCACAGATATCCACGGTCTGCCAGAGTCTACCCACTGGTTGCACCCCACCAGATCCAAACATGGCTGCCAAAACAAAACATACAGGACCGGTCCTTTGGCTGCTTTCACATGTTTTGACCCTGGGCCTGTTAAATATTTTGTCTCCAAAAGTCAAAGCGGTGCATCTCATGCACTCCTTCAGGCACTGACTCCAATCGATCCACGTGTGGCTCCACGTCACCTTCGTTCAATCCATAGCGCCCTACTTGCAGGGCTGCCATGACGCCCTCAGGACCCCAGGCAGCTGTCAAAGCATGGCGAGCTAGTCCTGGCAGGCCATCTGGACACAGGTGGAGATGAACAAAAAATGACCAGGGGATACCAGGATATATATATATATATGCTACCTGCCCCAGAAGTCTACCATTTTGACAGTTTGTGATGCTGCGCACATGATTGGCAGGCCCACCTGCTACAGCTTTTGACATTGCAATCGTTGTGGTGGAAGAAGAAAGGAGAAGATGCCAAACTGTTGACGAGCAATGGAGGGAACACTTTTTCGGGGCAAATGCGATCAAGCCTGCGCGGCAATGCCAGACATGCAGTCACGCGCGAGTTCCCAGTGCATTTCCACATGTCAGACCCCGGTGCCAGTACTCATACTGTGCCGCCCGGGTTTTGAACATGAGGCCTGCGCCAGAATGCGTGCCCTCGCACAGACGGTTTATGGTAAATTTCCAGCGACGATCTATGTGCCGGGTGCCCGCCTTGACCGTGAGCTGCTTACCTCCTGGCAACTTGTGCTTCACGATCTTGACAAAAGTAGGCTTCTCCCAGATCCACTTGCCCGTGTGCTTGACCGCTTTTTCTTGTGCACCACGGGGTCACGGCGCACACCAGGAAGCTTGAGCTTGTAGGCCTTGGCGGAGTCTGTGTGAAAGATGTTTTTTCCAGCCAACCAATGGAGTCCAATCACGCTTGGTGATGGGCCTGGAGAACGACGAATGGTGAGGGCAGGTTTCAGGCGAGTGAGGATAAGAGTGTCCGGCTTGCCCTCTGCACCAGGCCACACCACCATAGAAGGCATTTGTCTCCTTCGACTTGCTGGTTGAAGTTCGGGTCTTGGGAGACGTCACGTTTGTCAAATGTGACCTCATCACCTTGCACGTCGGTCCATCCCTTGCTCTTTGCAAAGACAATGCCTTTCTCTTTCTTCTCGAGCGAACTTCTTCCAAGCGCCGTTGCATACTCTCCACGGCTTTGTGGTTGATGCCCAAGGCGATGTGGGTAGAGACCAAGCACACACGGAGAAGTAGCAACAAGAGCATAGCAGATTGCACTTGGAGGGAATGTCCTTCTGGTCGATGACAAGCTTGGAAGATAGGATGCAAGCAAAAGAGATGACCTCTTTGCTGGCAACTTTTGCGGGAGCATCTGTATTTCTCCACAGTGCACTTTCAGTGAAGACAGTATGCCTTGGTTGCACTTGGGACACACCTTTCCTGCCCAATCTGGAAGGAGTTTGTTTGCAATGAAAGCCTTGACTTGACGATCTGGACATTTTGAGAAAGAGAGCAATTGAGCGACATTGCGCTTCCATTGCCCGTGCTCCCGACGAACACCACGCGCTGGCACACGACGAGCACCCCTGACATAGGGAACCTTTTTCCAAGCAGCTGACTTCACAGAAGCCGGACGCTTCAGCACCATGCGCGCCTTGCCCTTCTTAGGTTCAGGGAAGGGGTTGAATTTCCTCGTCATGGCAGCAAGAAGCGAAGGTTGCTTCTTAGGGACTATGATCTTTCAAATGGCTTCAGACATATCCACGTCGCAATGTGTTTGCAGAATCTTTGTGGTCCACTTGCTGACAGAACAAGTGAAAGCGCTTGCACGCAAGGGGATTGTTGACAGATGTTTACAGGCAGAAGAACAACAATGAAGCTTTCCACTCTTCACAGCGAAAGCCTTTATGAAACATTTGCAAACGTTTGCACTTAGACATCCAACGCGCAGAGTGACAGCTCACCTTTTCTCCCCACCTGTCAGAGTAGGCACTCGCCAGATGAACTTTGACACATGCAAAATGCCAAAGTAACAGCATTATGGTACGGGCAACAACTGTAGACGGACAGAACCCCGCTGGCCCACTCACTGACTTACTCAAGCCCATCACGGCCGCTGCCTCGGCATCAGCATCAAAGTCATAATCCATCAGGTCCAAGCCACTCTCATCTAGCATCTCAAGAGCCATGGCTTCTTCAGCCGCTTGCGTTAGATCTTCGGACTGGTCTTCGACCGCGCACGGGCCCCACGACGACACCGGCAAGGATGGGATCCAATTGCAGACAACGAATCTCACTTCGGAGCAGCAAGCACTCCGTCAGCCTTGCTGGTCCATTCGCCACGCATTCCAGTGGCCAACTTCAACTTTTTCTGCAGAGGCAAGTGCTGAGTTGAGGACTTCTCTGGTCACTGGCAGTCTGGATTCATGGATGGTGATGGTGCCCTCCTTGACCTTGCTGATTATGTCGTCCGGGGATGGCCGGGGCTTGGTGCCAGATCGGGCTGGAGTTGTGGGAACCAGCTGCAGAAAGGCAGCGCCATTGTTGATGGCAACTCGTCCCGTAACGTTCATCGACATCACCGCGACAAATGAAAAGGAAGACACAATAGATGCAGAGCAAGAAAACGGCTTTGGATGACAGCATTCGAAGTGCAACTGCAACCGAAGCTTCAGAAACTGCAAGCTGAATTTGTTTGCAAACGTTTGCAAACGAGAGAGGATTCAAGATTCAAGATTCAAGGCCTAGAAAGAAGTTCTTGAATCCTGGATTCAAAACTTGAATCCAGGATCCAGAGTTTGGAATCCTGGATTCAAGAACTTTATTCTAGGCCTTCAAGATTCTTGAATCCTCTCTCGTTTGCAAACGTTTGCATTTCTTGATTTTGTGCTAAGTAGAGTTTGGAGGCACATCTTACAATTCTTATAAGTTTACACCTTGGAGGTACATGTGCATTTATAAGGTGTGTGTATGTGTATATATATATATGGCACCCCCTTCTTCCCAACCAAGTGCAAAATGTATAAATATGGTAGACTTTTTGGGGGGGGGTACCATATATATACGATATATATATATATATATGTATCTATTATTATCTATTTACTATCTATTTTATACCCGGCCTCGAGATGACCTTCAAGGATTGAACTTAAACCAAAATACTCACCCAACACCTATTGGTTGTCAAAACATCCCTATTTACTCCTATTTGCCCATCAAAGGTAGTGGTGCTCTACCAAGATTACCGCGCATCGAGTTTCCTCATCACAAAGCTGCTGAAAACGAAGTCTCAGGGCTCAGGAGCCATCCCTGCCAAGTAAAATACAACCATATGATTCATGTTTCAGATTCAGATTCACAGTAGTGTTGGTGTTGCTCCACTGCCACTGACTTATTGAGCTTATTAACTCTCATTGATATTGTAAGAACCCTCTTCCCAAAAGCCTTCTGAGGTCCTCTGGCCACGGTGAAGCCATTGTCCCTGTAGTCTCTTCGCAAGTCGAGGCAGCTTGTCGAAGCTTCCGCATCGTCAAAGGCAAAAACGAGCAAGAGCCAAGCGAAGGATCCGGGCCAGGCCGGCCAAGGCATTGATGGAGCTATCAGTTTAGCAATTGTTCAGTGCATTCAGTCAGTCAGGGTCTTCAACCCTGCATGATCATTGGTACATGTACAGTTTGGAGTCTCAAAACCAGGGAAGGAACGTCTTCAGGGACACACCAAAACCATTGTGGACCCTCCAAGTGAGAGCACCACTTGCCGACCGCTGGCAAGCCAGCTGGCTTGACAGTTATGTCAAGTTATGTCGTTTTGCGATGGGCGAACATGTTCAGGGGCCTTCGTCTCGTGGGCGAACGTTTTCCCGCATTTTTCAGTTGTATATGTTAAAGCATGTTAAAACATAGGTTGGGTCCTCCATGGTCTTCCAACTTGGAACCTGCTGAAGATGGCTGAAACGCAGCGGAGTCCGCGGTTTCGTTTGCGCCGAGCCTGTGAGCCAAGATCATGGGTAATCATGGGCAAACTGGCGAACCAACATCCAAACCCATGAGATGCGAAGAGAAAAAGTATTTCGTTCATGTGCTGATTTGTTATCCAGCAATCTAGCTTGTGGGTGATTGGGAAAAGCATTGAACAAAAACATGTAAAATCACATCTGAACACCTGCCACCAGCAGTTCAAATTTTGGGGTGCTTTGGATCACCCCAGTCATATTGTCACACGATGTCACTTATACATCTTATACTATATACCAGAACTGTTTCACTCACCCAGCTGCACCGGCCTCCAGTGCTTTCCTCCCCTCGTCGGCGGCTGCAGCGTTTCGACACGCCGCCCACCTGTGGCGAAGAACAGCGACAACGTCGACGGACGCGTCGAAGACGGGTCGAACTGCCGGGCGACGGACACAATTGGAGCATCTGGTATGGCATGGAATGCTTTAAGACTTTTTGATGTGAATCATTGGCTGAAGAAGGCCCCTTTTTGAGCCAATGGATGAGTTAAGCAAAGAGAACAGAGGTGTCGATTTGATAAGATACACCGTTGGTTTTTGAGGGGGATCCCCTCACCCAGTGCGTCGGTCTGTTTGAGCCACTCCCAAACACTCCATAGGAGTGGCATATTTACATACCTTGGGGTGGTCGAGAACGGGTCAATGTTGGTAAATCATGGTCACTATTCCAGTCCCATCGGTCGTGTCTGGGACTGCATGAGCCTCGCCTCCTTTGCAACGAGCGGCTCGTGTGCTTGCGGAACCGCACGACGTTCCGCACGACGGACGACGAACAGTGAAGACGAAGCACCAAAGGAAGTTCTGGAAGCTTCACATGCCCCCATCTAGGCGAAGTGTGCGAAAGCCGTCCGGCACTCTCCCGAACCTTGAGCTCCTTCTGAGACTCACTGAAGGTGGTGGCTAGCGAGTGTAGCGCTTGCTCCTCACAACTGCAGTGAGACAGCATATTTTGCTGCATGCTGCGCATCGGCATGTTGCTGATGAGGTGGCGTTGGGAGTCAGTTGGGAGGTGCAAAATGAAGACAAACTCTCTTGGCCAGGCTGGCCAGGCATTACAAAACAATTAGTGTTCATACCGGACACTGGAAACCCCCTTCATCAACCTGCCTGCTACGCCCTGTCACCACCAAAATAGATCTACATATCTTATTTCAGTTTCCCCTGAACATTCGAACCTTGGAACAAACACCAAGAGCGGTGCTCGTATGTGTGAAAAGGATTCAGGACATCAATTCCGGCCAATGGAATTTGATTACACCAACACCATCCAACACCTAATTGTAATGATAGAGTGACCAGAACAACTAAGACTTGGACCTTGGACGTATTTAATGCTCATCACTCATCACTGAGCACTTTAAACAAAAAACATGGTCGAACCTTTTGTTGCCTCTTGAGAGCTGCAAAAAGCTGAGAAACGTCCCGAGTGTTGATTCCAAGAAACACGCCCGGAGTCCATAGGTCAAAAGATCCTTCAACATCTTCAAACATGCCAGCCCTTGAGCTAGCAGATCCATCATTGAATGAACACTTTGGTAAATGTTGCATTGCTCATCTAATACAGAATCGCATGTCTTCTTCCTAGTGGCACTTCAAAATACGGCGGAATCCAAAGGCCTCACGGCCTCACTTCCGCTCCCAGTCCCTCCCATTCCGCTCCAAGCAGTAAGACACTTTGGCACTCAGGAAACGTGCATCCCATTCCGCTGCACTCATCTCCTCAGCGGAATGGCACAGTCCTCCCACCCCTGCCATGCACACACCACGAATAATGATTCACAAAAATGGTTGGCCGCTCCGCGTTCCCTTGCGTACTGGGCAGTGACAACAAAACTCTTGGCAACACTACGTTGTGCGTGGCACCACATTCTCCCACCAACCACTTCACGATCCGACGAACCCGAAAACAGCCCCTCAAGTCTTGGACCTGGGTTTACGTAAAAAGGAGGTTTGGTACAAATCGCCTAATACTATATATTCCCTAACCATTCTTCTGATCTAAAAGTCAGCACCCCTCTAACAGGGCCCTCCGACCTCATCATCACAACCCTCCGATGAGGAGACCCCTCTGCCTGGACGCCCCGAATTGCAGGGCTGAAAGGGTTTTCATTCGTTGTCAAAGGCGTCTCTCTTCACCACGTGGCACGTGGGTCAAGCGACAAATCGCCACACCGTGCCGTCACAACTGCCAAGCGACTGGCAAGTCTGAGAGCAGCATGGCTTGCTGCAAGTAGCTGGCTCGATGTGGTGCCTGGCACGTGGGTCTTGGAGCGACGGCCACCATTTGTGTGGCTGCGGAGCGCCACCATTACGGACTGGATGGATTCAAAGAGGGACCTAGAATTCAGAAGCTTCCCTCCCAGAAAGGTAAAACTCCCAAGCAAAGCCTACGATGGGGCATCGCTCTGATCTGCCATGCAGTCTGCTAGTCTGAGTTGATGGAGTCGTGTGTCTTGCCCGTCGGTGAAACTATTTTTCCCGTGGTACTCTGACCATCCATAACCCAGAACTGTTGCACCATCTCGTGCAGCTGTTTTCTGAACCAAGGGATGGAACGAATATATGAAAGAATCCACCTGAAATCGACGCTTGGTGGCTTCAACTCACTTGAGAAATATATGAGTCAGTGAAAATCAATCATCCCAATGTAAAGGGTTGAACATAATGAACATAGACATCTGCGAAAACCCCTTAACCGCCTTTCAACTCCTTTCACCCCTTGGGACCCTCCGTTTCGATATGGGGGCCTCTGCGATCCGGAGGTGATCATGTCGGCTGCCAGGGCGGCAAGGATGACCTCTTGAGCACTTATTGGAAGGTCAGATGATGATACTGCAGGAGGCAAAAAAAATAAGACGCAGACATCGAAGAAACCTCATCGGCTTCGAAGATCGGCAACATCGTCGACCGCTTCCAACATCCACACTCCCACCCGCTGGATCTTGGCCATGATCCTGCGCTGTTCCGACGCCCAAGCCCTGGACCTCGGTGTGTCATTTGGTGTCCACTCATCAGATCGAATTGCCAACCCCCGGATGTCCCGACAAAATGGTGCTTCCCAACAAAACTGCATTCCTACTGGACGCATCGTGTGCAGCGCTGAAAGCAATAGCTATGATGTCACACAACAAAAAGGGAGGTTCCTCCTCCACTTGTCCTGGGAACTTATCAAAGAGTCGGTGCAGCCTCAAACATGTGAAGTCCTGAAGCTGCCTCACCATGGAACCGGATCCAGGCAAACCACTATGGTTCCAAAGACTTTTACCGTAGCCCCAGAAACCCTGGTTCCTTACTAGGTTCCGGGGAACATGTGATTTTCTTCACCTCTTTGGGCCTCTTAGCACCAAGATTCATCGTTCGATGTCAGGATATCACTATATAGTAGCTATATACTAGTATTGATGCCCTTGTTTCTAGTAGTTTCTAGCTGCAGCTGTAGCGATGCACTTGTTATATACTATATAGTAGCTTGGGATTGTCCAAAATCTTTGTGGATGTTTTCACGAGGCACCTCTATAGTCCCATCAGAGTCAACCGCCAATGGGGAACGACTTGTGACATGCATTCACTCCTGCAGTGTTACAAGACGGAACCCTGAGATGGGCAATGCTGCACAATAGGTGGACTGGGACATACTAGGTCAGCACAACGAGTCCAAGCTGCTTCACATCGAATTCTCCGGCCGAACTTTCAGGTAAAAAGAACACTTGGAATTCACTTTGAATATATTGGAATATTTATCAAACTTCTCGCTTCCCCAAATTCTGCCTCACCACCACGGGTGGGACCCCTCACTTGAAGCCTGCGTCGAGCCCGAGGATCCGGTTTCGTAGCACCTGGCACGCCGAAAAGCGCCCAAAGTCCACTGGTGAGTTGGTCGGAAAAATTACAACTCGGAAGATGCACGTGAATAGTTCTTCCATGTTCTTCCCCAAACGCCCAAAGTGTTTTGACCAAAAACAGGGGGAACTCCCAAGCAAGGGCGGCCATCCATTTGAATGGGGGAAGATATGGGGCCGTCCACATAAAATGTCCATCTTCAAACCCCCAAAATTGACGTGCTTTCTTGGGATGATGGATTTCAAGATCCAATGAGGAAGAACACAACGAGACATCCGGGAAACAGTTGCCTCACTTGCCTCCAGTGCCCAGGGAGGATAGGGAGGAGACGACATTAGACATTCCAAGTGAGTTCTGGCCATAACTCATGGAACGCACTCCAAAATATGCATAACATTCATAACATTTTTCATAACTAAGGACTGCTCTGGCATGCTTTCTGTGCAAAGTCTTGCCGCTGGCCATTTGGGCGGACAACGGCAACCTGTCCCAAATGCTGAGATCTTCAATATACTCATACAGCAGGACATAATATATTTAAAACTCATGTCTTGGCCAAAGTCGCTGAAAAAACTGTCCCACCATGTCCCACCGGGTTGGCCGGAGTTCCTGAGTTCCTGGATGGTGCCGGATTTCTTCCACCAAACAGTTGTTGGAGGACCTGTTCCGCAAACGTTCGGATTCCATCATGCGTCCATGACGATGTTTGTATCACGCTCGTCACGCTCCAAATACACCTGCCCGGTCCACGGTGGTCAACCCGTTCAAACCCAGCATGACATAGCGCCACTGGCTGAGTGGACAAAGGCGCGCCTGTTGTGTGACGTTGAAGGGACGCAAGTGCCACCTCAAGGTTGAGACAGCATGGTGACAACTCCATGCCCTAAGAATCCACGTACCTTCTCAGAAGACACAACTGGACCCTGCTGGCCCTTACAGAAAAGTGTTGAACACGTCACCTTCTCACAGGGTGGCAGTGGATCCATACGGATGGCCACCTGGATGGGTTGTGGAACGGAGGGATGGTCAGGAATATTTGTTCGTGCCCCAACAACACTGACATGTTCTACCGAAATTGGAGGTGTAAAAACCTCGGGCATAGGGACCGTCATTGGGACATCCATTTGCCTCACGTGAACTCCCACGAAGGCAAGGGTTGTTCATCCCAGTCAGAATGAATTGTAAGTTTGCTCTTTGGAAATAAATATGTATCCAATCAGTGTCCGGGTATCCTACAAATGTGACATAGATGAGAAACCTCACACCGTTGAGGGGGAGAAAAAAAACGCGAACGCCGCGAACTTCTTTATGTACTGTTCAAAAAGCCACCTTCGGTCTGGAAGCGCTCTTCGGAAAAGCAGCCAAAGACTGAGAAGTCTGGCATGGTCCAAGGGCGCAAACTCTGTGGCACGTCATGTGTCGGCTTCTGCTTCTGCCGTCTTCGTCCCCACGTCTATCCGCCACGTGGGCCGCGCAGGTCTACACCCGCCCCACCGCCACAACTGGGTCTCCAAACATTTCCACTGGCGCCTGACGGCGGCACGCCCCGCGGCACCATATATGGCACCCACCGAGGAATCCTCGATCCAGCTGTGCTGCTTTGCCTCTAACTGCAAATTGCTCAAGACCTAGAACCTCTTGTTGGGCAGAAATGTCTGCCAGTGCATAATGCCTCATGAGGTTGGAGGTATTTCTCTGCAACTCTCCACAAATCTTCCAAGAAATGAGGCACTCATCGTCGTGCTTGTTTGAGTTGGCACATGTTGGCACCCATAATAAAGGGGAAACGCAACAGGGGAACGTGGATTCATTCTATAACGCGAATTCCTGAACATCCTGGTCGGGGCGCGAATTGGACATAACTGCCTCCTGCCTCACATGAAATATGCCATTCTGCACATGCAAATGAGTGATTGACCAAACCCGTTCCAGAAAAATGAGTGGCACACTGAGTGGCACATATCAAGACCAGGTGGTAGTGATTGTATCTCATAGCGCAATGAACATGATCAATTCCTCACATTTTCGTCCAACTACACCGTAGGGATCCACATACCTTCTCAGAAGGTACGCCCGGACCCTCCTGGGCCTTACAGAAGTCTCGTCGAACACATCACCTTCTCAAAGGGTGGCAGTGGATCCAATAGGGCCATAGATGGCCATAGGGACAAAGACCCGATTCCAAAACTGCTCAACCAACCCGTTCATTGGATCTTTTCACTTGTACGGCCTCCAACAGGGTTCGCACCGCCACGAACTGCCGCAAGAAGAAACCTCACGAATGTGGCGTCCTCTCCGCTGTATTCACCGGAATCGCTGCGAAGGACCTCGACTCCATGGGTGCAACACCTATATACTGTAACTGATCTGGCCAATCGAAGCAAAACAAAGCAAATTCGATCTGTCATCTGTCCCATTAGGGGCATCATTAGATCGTATGATCTAGTAGCTTTCAAAAATGGATCCCGCGCCATCCTGTGCCAATTTAAAACCTTCATGCATTTTCTTGACAACTTGAACCAAACACCACGACATCCCGTTGATTCACCGTTGTCACACCAAAGTACGCGTACGCCTCAAATGGCCAAAAGGGAGGTGCCTTGGGCTGGGTGGGGACCCCAAGGGACTAACTGCACAAAACTGGTCAATTTGGGACCTTTTTAGCGAGTGATTTGTGTGTTTTTGTTTGCCCTTCTGATTCAAAACAAGAACCATAACACGGGGATTTTGCCTTTGCCTTGTCTTCATGCAGTTTTGAGACCCGTATGCAGCTCCCATCCGCCAGCTGAAAAGCTGAGGCACAAAGAAGAATCATCATGATGGTGCTAAGAACAAAGGCGTAGACGATGAGGGCATCATCCTCCGGCGGATCGTTCATCCCGTCACGATCCGCACGGCGTTCGAATGTGATCCGATCCGAACCAGTCCGGTTTCACCGGTGTTTTGGACTTGAGCCGGTCCGTATGCGAAGTATGTACCACTGAGAAACCCATCATGACATGGACCAAGAATTCAAAAAACGGACGAGAAAGCGAGGCTTGAGCGGTACTTTGAGACCTTTGAGAGGCTCATTCCTTGTTGATCATGAAAAGCATTGGTTCCAAGCACATTACTTATATATCTATATAGCTAGGTAGAAGTAGAAGCTACTATATAGTACTATACAGTGACAAGTGCATCGCTGCTAGTAACAAGGGCACTACTACTAGTAGCAAGAAGCGACTAGTAGATGGATGATTGGTGGTTGAGGGCTGCTGCATTGAATCCGTGCACTCTGTGCGTTCAGTGTGTGCGGCACCTGTACATTGCTTTTTAATTGTTTTTGCGCGCACCCATCCGACCAAGTCCATAAACCTCAAAGTAACACGTAGAAAACCAGTACAATGGTCAAAAGGGAGAACTCCAGTTGCGCATTCCTTAGTATCCTCCAACGTGCTCTTTAGTCTAACACAGAAGTGCTGATCGATCTCTTTGCTTGATCTGAGCATGTTTGAGCTACACAATTTGCACATAGTATGATCACCTCCTTATCCTCACACTGGACACTGGCTAACCCCAACTGACGTCCTTAAAGACTTCCCTGGCTGAGTCCAAATTCCACCTGAGCACACTATGTGCATGCTCGGGACACAACTCGACGCATACAGGACGCAACCACCTTGGTGGTGAAAATCCCGACGACGGCGCAAACCCAAATGCTCCATGTCATGAAATACATTGAACACCAAAAAACACCTGGCAGTGCATGTGCTTTGCATGTGGATCGGATATCACCGGATCACTCACCAGATCCTGATTCTTTGGGATGGAGCCGAAGGGTCCCCGGCCAACCTTTTGAGGGGCCCGCACAAAGGAAATTCTATTCAGCTTCCAGGTGACCCCCGCAGCACTGGGTACAAACAAATGGACATCGGACAACCAAATACAACATAGTGCATCTAGACCATATACATCTTGTTATACAGCTGAAGAGTACTGTACGTCTTATATTTGCACAAACGTCCAGTGTTTAGAATTCACTCTGCGTAACCCACCACATGTCAACAGAATCTCTGCATCTTCTCATCTGAGTCCCTCGGTGGACCCCCAGCACCTCGGGAGTGGGTCCCGCGTCGGTGACCACAACGAGGCACTCCAAGCGGTAGCCCATCAATGCGATCATCGCCCCAAGCTCGACGACTCGAATGGAATAGTAGAGCTCAGGTCTCAGCGCCACGTGCCCAAAGGGTGTGACAAAACGGCCATGATACCCCCAAAGCATGTACCCATGATGTGTCGAAGAGTTACAGTACCTAAACTTAGGGTGTTTTAATGGGTACATGTATACGACCTCTGTAACAAACAGTTTGTAGCGGATTTCATGGTCTTCCCAGGGTTCCTTTTCCACTTCCACTTTCGTTTCATCGAGTTCAGTTCTTCCATACATGGATGGACATGGGTTCGGTGCTTTTGGAAGAAAGTCATGATGTTGTGGTGTCACGGCCATACGGGCGCCCCTGGGAGGCGTTAGTGTTGTATATATATATATATATGTATATAGATGTTGACTCATGTTGACTCTATTTTCATGGTTGTTCACAAACATGTTGTTCACTCACATGTGGGGGGGTGGGGCGGGACAAAACGGGAGAGCTGTGGGGGCGGTGGGAGGTCGGTGTATGTGACATCAAAACAGCGTGAGATCCCTAGTGACACACATGAATAGGACGTGCACAAGAGCAGCACATGTCAAAATCTCTTTTGATCCAACCGTGCTAAAGGTAGGTGGTATGAAACTCCCCAATCCCACTGGAGAAAATGAGATCTGCAACTCTTCCATAGTTCTGCTATGTTCTGCTCAAGCTCCAGGTGCCCGGCGGCAAGGTCATGGGGCTGTCCTGGCCGGACCAGAGTGGGGGACCAGCGCAGCTCGAGCCATTCACAACTCATGTCGCGCAAGGCGAACGGAAGTTGCATGGATTCCACAAGACCTGAAAAGGCAAAAAAACAAACACAATAAATGTTGAACGTGTGATTCTAAGAGCCAACCGTCTTTATGTCTTGTATCCCAGGACCCCAACGACTGAAGAGGCCTAGGCCTATATATATTGCAGGGCCTACATAATTACTGGTTCCCGCAGACCTTCAATTTTTGCTTGCGAAGCGGTGGGTCGGGTCTGCTTCCTTCGGGATTTTAGGTGGGTTCTTCAGGAAATCAGTGAATCCTTCCAACGCTGATGGTGCGCAATCCGCACACGTAGCACCGCTCCTTCTCCAACATCGGCGTCATCAAACAAATGGAGGATGGCAAGGCGTAGACCTGAGCCCGCAAGCGTCGAAGCCGGTGAGACCAATGGCTGAAGCTGGAGCAGAAGCGGTTTCACATATATTCAATTCCATCTGAGACCGGGTCTTGTGCAACTTGATTCCAGGTCTGCCCGCACCCCGTAGACCATCTTTTCCTGGATTGAATATTAACTTGTCTTCTGGAGTTGCTTCAGAAGACTATGTTCCAATCTCATCTTGAGACCCAGTTTTGTTTTAACAAAGGACCCGGTTAGGGTTGGAAGCTGTTATATGTTTCGCAAATAAACTTGATTCCGTTTGGGCTCGAACCACATCCCAAAGGGAGGTGCTTGGGGTGGGTGCCAGGGGAATCTAACCACCTTCTCGGGAGGTATTGGAGCCCTAGGGACTCAACATCCAGCTGTTGTGACTGTCGCCCACCCAAAAAGGAGTGGCATGCAGGATCTTTGAAGACCAGACTTTTGCGGGGTGGATCCAACTGAAATGGTATCCGTGCTGAAACGGGACTCTCGACCCAAGTCACCTGGACTGTATCTCCGGTTTTCCCGGTCCCCAGGTCGGTCAGGCCCAACTTCCGGAACCGGTCGCCAACGAGCCGGGCCACCAAGTTGTGCCGCAAGAGCCGCCCGCCACCACGACCTGGGGCACTGCCGAGCAGCAAAGGGTACCGAAGAAATAGCAGAAATGAAGAATCTTAACGTACCTATAGCAACTGAAATGGTACCTAGCAATGCAGAACTTCTTGAAATGAACAATGTTCATGGAAGAAATTAGCAATGGAATGCAATTGAATGCATTAATCACTAATGGATATGTCACTTCTTGGAAGAATAAGAACAGTTTACGAGCGGATACGAACGGGTGCTCTATCAGCTTCGATGTCTGTTCAATGGAGTAGCTCTTGGTTTTGAGGTTGTTTCTCACTGTTTCTCAAGGTGCACGTGTTGCCGGTGTGGCTCAAAAAATGCACGTCTTCATCCCCAAATCTGCATCCACCGAAACCCAAACCAGATTAATTAAGATATAATAACTGCTCCTCAAACTCAAGAAACACATTGACCTCACTGTAACAAAAAACTATACCTAAAGCTTCCTAACCAAAAAAATAAGTCAGTTAAGAAAAGTGCCGCATTTATCTATACCTTCAAACAACAAACACTACAATCACTCGAAAACATTATACCGGCATAGACCCCAGATAGCACTTCAAGAAAAGTTGGATAGCATGGCAAGAGCGGGAGACAAGCTTGGGAGACATCCCACTCAAAGCCGGGAAAAAGATGGAAAAGGTAAACAAGATCTAAATCATCTTATAACAGCATCCGCGGTCAAAGGCAGGCAAGAAAACGACAAGGCGGCAGCGGCAGCCAAGAGCGAAATCATGAAGGGAGACAAGCTTGGGAGACAAGGCGGCAGCGGCAGCCCAGAGCGAAATCATGAAGGGAGACAAGCTTGGGAGACCAGGCGGCAGCGGCAGCCAAGAGCGAAGTTATGAAGGCAGACAAGCTTGAGAAACAAGACGGCAGCGGCAGCCAAGAGCGAAATCATGAACGGAGACAAGCTTGGAAGACAAGCCGGCAGAGCCAGCCAAAAGCGAAATCATGAAGGGAGACAAGCTTCACAGACAAGGCGGCAGCGGCAGCCAAAAGCGAAATCATGAAGGGAGACAAGCTTGGGAGACAAGGCGACAGCGGCAGCCAAGAGCGAAATCATGAAGGGAGACAAGCTTCACAAACAAGGCAGCAGCGGCAGCCGAAAGCGAAATCATGAAGGGAGACAAGCTTCACAGACAAGGCGGCAGCGGCAGCCAAAAGCGAAATCATGACGGGAGACAAGCTTGGGAAACAAGGCGGCAGCGGCAGCCAAGAGCGAAATCATGAAGGGAGACGAGCTTGGGAGACAAGGCGGCAGCGGCAGCGGCAACCAATTTCCGCAATCACTATAGCTTCGCTATCTGGGGAAAAAACAACACTCCATGATACTCCATGGAACCCTCTCAAATCCAACATGCTTGGACCCCTTCTTGCTTTTTGGGCAGTGCCTCTATACTTCACAAGGCACACACACACAACGAAAGATTCACAAGCTCTGGACTTTGAACAGGAAACCCAAAATTTGCAATACTGATTGCTAAAACCAAGGTAATTTGGTGTTGAACCGGATGGTTCGCCTTTTTAGGAACATTGCATGCATTTTGCAGGTGTCCACTTTGGGCCGAAAACAAACCAAAGCATTGCTTGGGAGCATCCTCTCCTTTCGATTGACTTTCCACGCATTTCTAGACATTTAAGGTTGTGGGCCAGTGGATTAAGAGGCTCAAAAGAGCGGCATGAACAAATCACAAGGAAGTGCCAGTCTTCAGCATCTCAAAAAACACTCAGAACCCTTCAAAACGCAACAAAACTCACACAAAACGCGCATTCGTCCGAAACAAATGCTATAGGGAGTCCAAAAAGTACAACATACCATGGGTTCCCCAAACCAAACTGTACAACTCAATAACATGAACCTTCACTCCAACCGACATGGGTCTCCACTCCCCCAAATCCGTGAGATCAGCCGCCCCACTGTACTTCCTTCCTCTGGTCATTTGAGAGATCGCCGCCTGACGCGCCGAGCGGCCGATCGAACGGGGGTTCACCCGCACGGTTCCACCTGTTGTTTTTGGAATGAAAAGAAGTACGTCCTTCCCAAAAAGGCTCAGATTTTGTGATCCACTTTACATGGGTATAGTGAAAGGCATGGCGAAAGGGAGGGTGACTCCGAAAAGACCTGGAGGTGTTGGTCTTTGGGAGTCAGAAGGAGGAGACGTCCCAGTCTGCAATGTCCAATTGACTGAGTTTACCTTTCTTGGTAGGGGTGGATGATGACTCCCAGCTGGGGGAAAAAATTGGTCATTGGAAATTCCTGGTGCGTACTGTCCTCTACCCACAGGTCTATGCAAAATCTGTCACTGTCTATTCAAGAAGGCATTTGGGTGCAGGTTTGGAAAGGCAACAAACAAATGGAACACATTTACATTTGAAGAATACAAACATGGAGGCTGATGGTTTCTATTCTGGGAGGATCTTCTGAATATTAATGCCAAGTTTATAAATACCTAACAGGATGGGTGTCCACCTCCATGTCACGTGTATTCAGGCTGCGATCTCATGTGCAAAGCTCTGCTAAACAGGGCATCGTCTTCACACATGCATCCCAAAGCGCTTTCTCTCCCAAAATACTGGGTCGAGACGATGGCTTTTGACTCAGCTTGATGGGTTTCAACTGCTGGGGCGGCGGCAAGAGTCACCACCAGGACCGTGTCAGCGCTCATCACAGTGACCTGAAGAAGCCGGCCGAGAGAGTGGGGAGAGGAGACCCTTGGGGGGATGATGAAGCCAGTTTGGTGATCTTTTGAATCATGTCTCCCTGCAGCACTGTGCTTGGCCGAAACACAAAGCACAGCAACTTGCTGCCGGATCACCTGGACCAAGGCATCTTCATGCAAAACGGTGTCCAAAAAAAGGCATCTTCCCACCAAATGAGCACCGGATGGCGAGAGGGTGGCGATCATATGCATATTCATGACATGGGCCAAATCTTGGTGCTGTTTCTGAAACATCTGACGTAACATCTAGAAACATATTCAGCAAACAATCAAACCAATAAGTGAATAAGTTGTGCTGCATCTCAATGTTTCAGGGAGTGCTTGGGAAACTATAATGATATTGTACATAATATGCGTAATATGGCATTAATTAATATGTTCACTGTTCCAGCAATCACTGTTCAGCAAATTAACATCCACCAAATTAACATCAACTCCCAACACCACTCACTGGTGCAGCTAGAGGAAGATGGTCTTCTCCCACGGGTGAATTCTCTGGGTCCCCCATGTCCTGCGACCCCAGAACGCCGCGCCGAGGGGCAATGCCCCAAGGCCGGCAAACGCATTGGAAGAGCGCCAAAGAAGTGGCACCTCGGCCGAAGTGAACAGAAGTGGCACCTCGGCTTGGCTTCCAGCTTTTTGGAGGTGCAACAGGTCCTTTTTGGCTCTTCAGCTTTGGTGTTTGGGGCCCAAGGCATCCATTTGCCGCCCCAAGCAACATCTCAGTCCCTGTACCTGAAGCAAAGATCCCCAATCACTCGCCCCAACCAACGACACCATCATCATCGCCGTCCCACCGCCCGGTCCACCGCCCGGTCCATCGCCCGGTCGACCAGCGACGTCACCCGGGCCCCCCTGGCGCGAGGTGACCTCTGCGATGCGAAAGGCGAAGACGCCCCACCTGATCCGCGGTTCGGTTGACCGGTGGCCCCCGGTGGAAGGCGAGTCCCGTTTAAGAGCCGATGGCCCCCCCGTTTGAGTCCAACAAGTCTTTTTTGGTGGATGACATGTACATGTGGTAGAGTAGATGGTTAAAACATATCTTGAACAGATGGGGGTTTCATATAGGGGTCCAGATCAACTTGGGATTACTGGGGGTAACTTGTACCATCGAACCTCTGAAAATTCTGTATATCAATATCACATCAACATCTAGTTTTGCAGGGACTTGATGTGGAGTGTTTTTGCGACATCATGAGAGAAAGCCCCCAACTCCTTGGCATTCCTGATCAGGCGCATCTGATGACATAGAAACGGGTCATGAACGTTTTGTGAATCGCCTACCTGTCTATTTCAGCTTTGGGGTGTCCATGCATTGTTTTCCCTGTGTTTTCTTGGGGTATCCATCGTACTCCGTCGCCCGGTGCTGCTCAGGTGCCACTTGGCATTGGCTCCACGACACAGGCCCGGCCTAAGTGGCTGGAACGACGAGGGAAGGCAGCGAGGCGGACGAAAAAGAAGGCGATGCCGAAGGGAACCTGATTCTTTTTACATACCGAGACACTCGATGGATGGACTAGCATCAATCTTTACTGATCAGCTGGGGTGGTTGAAAAGGGGTCAAGGTAGGCATATCTTCCAGTCTCATGGAGCGTCTGGGACCTAGATGTTTGACATGACATGGTTGTGGGAGACCCCTCCTCTTCTTCAAGAGCAACACTATCCTTTAGTTGGGTCCACCTCATAGGGATTCCCTTGCAGGTCTCATGCGTAAAGTCACCATACCCGTGTTCACTCCTGCAGCAGGTGCTTTTGAACAGCCATCAAACAGTTTACAGCTACTCCCTCACGTGGCAACGGTCGATGAAGTTGCCAAGGTCCTTGGGTGCTGCACAAGAGCCTCTTGCCACAACAAATTATTAACGGTCTGTCAGTGTGTTCCAGAAAGACCCGAAGAAGTATGATTCAATAATTATTCAAATCACGGACGTTTTTCCAGCTAACTTCCGACTCCAAATTTCCCCAAATCAAAACGATCAAGAAGAACACACCGACCAAGCAAAATCACAACAACACCCTGCTGAAACTGGCGCTCTTGGCCTCAATGGCTGGGGCACCGAGCACCTTTACCAGAAGCTCTCCTCCGTCGTACCTCGGCTGCAACTGTATACAGATGGACCAGAACTCAATGGATTGAGGTGATGCTGAATGGAATGACAGCCCCGAGAAGAAACATGATTTGCTAACTTTGCAGACCTCCACCTTCTTACATAGGGCCCTGGCCGAGTTTCCTGGAGTCTTTAACAAACCCTGTTGTGCATGGCCAGTAACTCCCACTGAACAACGAATCTACACATCAAGTCGCGAGATCATCTCCAAAAGAACACCAGCAGGGTGACATCACGTGACTGAAACCTCTGGGCCTGAGCATCCCAGCTTGTCCAAGGCACTGAAGGCGTAGCCTGCAACTGTTACAGTCAAAAGACTGTCCTGCAACTGTTGACCATGTAGACTCCCAACACCCCTGATGAGTGTTTTGACCCAACAGGGAGACAATCAACACCACTGGAGGGAGTCAAAACACCACTGATGTAATCTCCATGGTCCCGACTCCCTGGAACCATCGGACGGGGGCAACGTGGATACCAATGGCCCCGAAAGGATGACCCAAACTTGGCACCCAAAGGCACCGCGCTCGACGACTGTCTCGACTCCGAGAAACTCCCCCCCCGTGAGGTTCTTCAACGGGTAGGTAACAGAAAATGACAATACCATACAATAGATTACAATACCATAGTGTAAGATTCACATCAAAGAGCTACTTAGGTTTTGAACCAGAGTAGGAAAGGTGCGAAATAAGACAAGTATAACATGCATTTAGTTAGGCGCGACCAATCACTTTTGCGGCCATTCACAGGAAGGCCACAGAATATCCAGGTCGATTTGTTCTACCGAGCCATTTTCCGAACTTTGTGTTGGAAAGCCCGATTTTGCGTGGAAAGGACCACTCACTCAGCCCAACGAAAATCGGGGAATCTTGTTGGACAATTGCTCCACCTGTCGAGGATGAACAAGTAAGTGTAGGTGACTGTGTAGGTTGTATGGCCTGGCCTGGGGCCGTAGCATACTCTTGAAAGAAGGATTGAACTGCATGACAATCTGCAATCTGGAAAAATAGGACGTCTAGAGATACCACCCACACATTTCCGCTGGTATCCTAATGAAGCAAACTCGTTGCATAATGTTGCATATGCTTGTCGCAAAGCGGATCGATGGTATGCGGAAAATCAAGGGCCCGAGGTGAGTCATATGGAACAGGGCCAGTGACCTCATCATTGTGATTATACCAAAAAGGCATGTGTAAACCTGAAGAAATCGTGGAAGCTATGGCGAGTTCTGCTCGTATAATACTTGGATCATTGCGTGCTGTCGGTTCCTGCGGGTCCGGCCATTGTAAAAGCTTACAACATGCCCATACCCTTGTACAGCAGCTAGTCCAGCTCCCCACGAACATGTGCGAGCTACGGCCGGGTGAAGATTATCGGGAGAAGTGACCAAAAAGGGAGGAAGGCATGTCCTCCAAGTCGCCTCTCTGCTTGTCTTCTCATCAGCATGTGATTGAATATATACCCGAATATGCTTCTTTGTTCTGAATAGCCAGGTAGGTATTCACATCTGTTGTGACGGTATACACCGCCTGAAAATCAGCATATTTATAGTATTGTTGATTGATTTATGATTTCTGGAAAAAACTGAGTCATACATCTGCCAGATAAAATGAACATCATTATCTCGGGACCGTTTGGCAACAAAATCGGCTGCACAATTACCTACCATGTTTCTCTAATGACATGTTGTTGTTGTTTTTCAACTTTCATGATTATTCCAATGAGTGTATGTCATACTTGCCTGCATTAAGAAAGATTTTGGATTCAATGTCAATGTAGAATACATGGAGTGTTCGGGTACAGGTCACTCTCAAAGAATCCAACGGTCTTCTGCAAAGGAAATTGGTCCAGTCCCTATACAGCTGTGAGCTGCGCTGTTTGGGCATGTTTGTGCTTGTGATTGTCCCTACATAGCACAAATCTTACCCTCCCCAGGCGCTTCAAGCTCCATCCATGTACGTGTCCTCCCAAAACGCTAGCACAAAAACTGGTAGATCACCCCCATTCACCCCCAATGTTCAGAACAACCTGGGACCTGTCCCAAACCAGCTCTGGCAAATGCATGGCTTAGGTCAGGACAGGACAGGTTCTCATCTTTTGAAGACATCTTGTTTCCGGCAGGTCTACAATGGGGCAATTCGCCCTGGTCTTCTTGGATACACCACCTATTTGGGTGTTTGGTCCACCCTACAAACCATGGAAAGCCGTCCGAGAAGCCGTATTCGTATTCCATCACCACCGTTGTGTCACGGCTGTGGACTCGTGCATGAAGTCTCGCCACCGTACTGCGTACTGCGATGTTCTCTGCTCCAAAGGGACCCTGTATATAGTTGCACATCGGCTTTAGTAGTGCCGGTCTGATGTCTGCTATTAATCACCAAGACGAGTTCGGCGATGGCATTGGTCTTGAAGGTGCAGGCACCCACGTGTTGTACTTCTGGGTCTTGTTGTCAAGTGGAAGCATGTCTCCTGGGCCTTCAATTTCTTGCGTTGCCCGATTTAATTTGGGCTCAGCGGTGGGATATGGCACACAACCTTTTGCACTGCGCCTCGCACCTTGTGACTGCTTGAGCCCTTGTTGATCCATGTTGTCGGCAGTATCCTGAATCCAATGAAAAGTTATGGAGTGCAATTAACCATTTTCACGATGTTTCAAGCGCTCATTCCGACATATTCCAAACAATGAGGTCCTTTGAGTGGAGGCTGTTGTGGAAGCTGTTTAGCTATTTCAGGCTGTTTCGTCCAACTTCCCATCCCCATCCCGCCTATAGAGACGAAGGAGAGCGCCTCGGTCCCATGACTGGTCCCCACGGTGACCTCATAACTAACTCACTCATCCAGAAACCTCGCCACGTGTGACCCACGGAGATTCACTCAGATCACCATGATCTGCCACGAGAGACCTTGCTTCGATGGATGTGATCATCTATGATCATCTCCCCCAGTTCGCTTCGTCCAATTCTGAGGTGCCACACAATGGACGTGTACAGATCGAACTGGCAGTTCGCGGTGACAGATCGGTCTCGCCGATGGGTTTTGGGGTTTCTACACTCCCAAGGTCACCAGTTAGGGACTGACCCTTCAGTCACCCACCCCAACCTTGTCTACAGGGATCAGCCAATGGGTCTCCAATGGAGGTCCATAAGTAGTGTAGGCTAGTATATTGGTGATCCGTTGGATGATCCAAGTGGTCTGTCTACTATCTGGCTAACTGGTTGGAATCAGAGACTATAACGCCGACCAACCAAACATACATGGAAGATCATGGACGAGTTTGTGTTGAATGGCTACACCCATTCGCTGATAGTACCAAGCAAGCAAGCATAGACTGAGGACTGAATATGCACTAAACAGAGCGGTTAAGGATTGCTTTGATCGCGCAGGAGTGTATCCAGCAGTTTGGAGACACCATTCACTCCACAAGTTTCTTGACAAAGTAATGCAGTTGACACCTCATGCACTCAAGAACAGCCGAAAAAGAACAAGGAAATCCCATACGCCATACTCTGACACACCATCACACGTAAAAGAATGCAAGGACTGTTCTTGTGCTCCATCATGCTCCATCATGCATACCCACAAGAATAAAAAACATCCGTTCTGCCGATGTCTGCCTCCAGAATCCTCCAAACTCGGTACCCACAAACTGCAAGCTTTCCCCATCAAATGGTATTTGGAGAGAGAAATCTCATCGAGTTGCTTTACGGGACAAATCGACCACAAATGAGTGTTCACAAAAAAAACATGGCCTTCCTGAATCGTCTCAACACCCCGCCGGACGCGAAAAACGCCTTGTCGCCCAACGACAGGCGTGGAGAGAAGACAACGGCCTTAGTGTTTTGCGTGGCATATTTACACGCCTTGGTGTCTTGGCCACCGGTGTGGTTGGTGCGCTGTTTCTTTGAGCACTGTGGTTGGTGTGTGATCATATGGGAGCTGTTTCATCGTGATCTACACCGTCCCTTGCAGTCCGCGAGATGCTGGATCACGCGAGATGCTGGGTCCTTCGCCGTTCGAAACGGTCGTGAGTCGTGATACAGACTGAAATCAGACCTTGCCATGACCGAAATCACCCAAGGCCGGGACATTCCATCTTCCGATCCAATACTTGGTACCAGTTCGAGGTCGGAGTGGGCCTGTTTGGACCTGTGTGTGTTGGAGCGTCAATCGAAGCCGGACGCCGAAGCCTGTTGGCTCCCGTGGGCTCGCTGCCCTGGACGTCCCGCGCGTAGGTCTGAACGAAGGCAGAGACGGCCGACCTGAGGGACCCGAGTGGTGAAATCGCGCTGTAAGTAGGAACAAGAAGCTAGTAGTAACAGGTGCCACGCTAGTAGTAACAGGTGCCTTACTAGTAGTAACAAGAAGCTAGTAGTAACAAGTAGCTAAGTAGCTGGACTGGTGGGATTTCTGGATGAGTGTTCGTTTTGCTCTTTAGCCCCGGCACCCACCACTGAAGGTAGCTTTGACCTCCCTCACCCTAACCACATTCTGAGGATGTTATTACAGTATATATATATATAGACCTCTTAGTACCATGAATACCACCTTTTCGATTAAAAGAGAATACCCGGACGCAACCTAATCTCAAGTGTGGCACCACTCCAATCACCCAAGGACACCCGGAGCTGCTGGCCACTCATGAACTCATGAGGATCCCATTGGGAGCCTTCACCAAATACCCTCCGCGAGAACAGTCCACAACTCAAGCCTGCTCTCAGCAGGCTTCACCGTACCAAGAGCGCCAAACTCGCTGCCCCTCTCCGGCAGTCCATCCAGTCGCATACCAATATTCTGGCCATGTTATTAACATTTACATACAAAGCCACACCAAATTTTCCGGCCAGGGGGCTCTAGCACGCTTTCCGCCAGTGTGGAGATGAAGAGGAAGCGATGCTTGCACTGGCGAAAGTTCGATGTGATGCCATGCGGGTTTTTGTGGAAGCTTTCTGTAAGGTCTGTCGGAAGGATAGCATGAGATACGACCCAGAAGAGTCAGTCCCTCTGACGAATGGTGAACATTCAAAAGCTGCATGTTCCCATGCGGGTGTCCATCAAGAAAATGCTGATTCTCAAAGGTGGAAGTTGTTGTTTGTTTTTGTATGTCGGCTCCCCTTGAACCGATCCTATCAATCTGATTTTCTACGTCCAGGAACTTCTTGCTGGCTACGATTTGCGAAGACCAATCCCAACGAATCCCAATGAATCCATGGGGCTGGAAGAGTTACATCTGTCGGAGTGATACGAGTCTGGGAAGAATGTCTCTTAGTTCCATGCCATGTCGGTGTTTGTTCTCCCCGAGCACAGGTATCCTCCGGGTTGTTCCATGTTGGTTTCATTCATTTTTCTGCACATGGTCTGCAAACCTGGAATTGTTTGTCTCCAAGTAAAGCTTGTAAATACGCTAGCCAACCTCGGCTTTGACAGCAAAAGCACCAAATGCAGGGATGACAATCTCGCTATCGTTGAGTTGAACGCTGAATAGATGTGGAATAACGTCCCTGGATGTCCAAGGTTCATGATTCTTAGATTGAATGGATGCGCGTGTAGATTGGTCAAACGCTGACAGGATTATGAGGAGATCGTACATATATATATATTATGCTATATGCATGTAATTCAATCTCGTTCAGTGGTGCAAACATGTAATTACGTCATTATCTACTATGATATAACAATTAGCAACACTATAATAATGTTACAATCTTCATTGGAGCTATTTGACATAATTATACAATAAACATTATGGCAAAACACAAAATGATATAAGTCTATATATATAAGTCTCACGTTGTGTTTTGAGGGTCTGGAGTGATACTATCCATGTCTCCCAGCTTCATTCAACACAATCCAATCCCGTGGCCATGCCCAGCGGCACCCCCATCATCAGCGAGAGCACTGACAAGTAGGTGACCTGACAGCTCCAAAACGGCTGGAGTTCGAGAACCATCTGGGCGCTCGAAAACCATGCTGGGCGCAGGTGAATGAAGAGTTTCCTGTGGAGAACTGTCATGTTGAAATCTCGGGTGCACCAGCTGAACTGGGATCGACTCGTTATCGATTTCACGCCGAGCGCAGGTGCCCTGCTACCGAGCTTCGGTAGGTCTTTGCACACGCAGATCCCCAGCAAATCCATGCAAATCCACTTCTAATCCTTTGGTTTCATGGGTCCTAAAAATCCTAAAATCTGAACATGAGCTGCTCCAGACAGCCCAAAACTCTGACCTTTGCGCCAACCACCCGCCCAAATATGTCCCAGTGGCATGTAGTCCGGCCAATGGAATGAGCCTAAGAATTCGCGCTAGAGGGGAACCCAGGTCCAAACCCTCAAAACCAGAAACCCTGGTTGACCACGGATCATGAACAGAATAGATTGAATAGACTACTGTGCCTGGGAGGCAGGCCTACCAGGGTTTGGGTCCACAAATTTTGACCCATAGCCAGAGAGAGTCCTGTTCCTTTCTTTGGAAATGGACGTGAATGTCATGCCTGTCAATTGGTCGTTGTCTCGTCAATCTTTTAAGAGCCGCCTCTTTGGAGCAAGGCAAACGCGATTCTTGGCTAGTGGGGGCAGACGCGTCTCTTGCCCCATCTTGCCCCCCTTAGCTTTCTCTCGTGCGAATCCATTTTTTCCCATGATTCTCTCTCATGGAGCCACTCAAGAATAGCAAACACTATATAGTGACAAGATGTAGCAGTGTAGCAGCAAAAAAAAACATCGTCAATCCGTGCAATCCATTAAACGTATTTTCCAAGTCACAGAGTTTTTTTGGCACGGGTCTTCAGAGCACTCGGAAATGAAATTTGTGACGACAGTCACTTCAAGAGATGCCATCCAGAATACTTTGCGAACACCCAAGCATCCCTTCTCAGGGACGGCCCCCCCCTCCAGCTGAAAATTTCAAGGCTTGCAGTGGTAGCTGCCTTTCTGAAAGCATCTGAAAGCTTTGAACAATCACTGGACCAGGTGGCACCCTCATGTAAATTGGGATCTCCTCATGTCGCTTGATTTCCCAGCATCGCTGCTTGGAGGTTGGTCATGGGAGGGTCCCAACATGATCCCCAAAATGGCGGAGGAACAAGAAGCTACTAGGAGCAAAGGGCATCGCTACTAGGAGCAAGGATGCTACTAGGGGCTCCTGGCCTTACTATATACTAGGAACAAGGACGCTACAAGAAGCAAGTCTCGGCGACCGGTCGCCGTTTTTTGTAAAGCCCTGCCTGCACAAGAACCAATCACAACACATTGGCTTCAACAAGGTCGAAAAAACACAAATCTATGAAAAGGATCGAAGAGGTGCTAAACTCCAAAACTCGATGGCTGTGTGTTTGTTTCCTTATTCTTTGGTCATATGCTAAGTCAGATGTATGTCGACCTGTGGCAGACCGGTCGCGTCCAGGTGTTGGTGTCACTGGGGGCCCCAACAATCCCACCACCAGGACTTGCCAGCCGGGCCTGGTTTCGTCGTCGCTGTCGGACATGCCATTGATTCTCCGAACTCCGCGCCATGCGGATGGCACGTTGGCCCATTCAGATCCATTCAGTTCCATGGAGGGGTCTGTGGTCTGTGGAACCGGGGTTCGCCCACTCCTTAAACGTCGAACACCACTGCTTCTACCTGGCCCAAGGGATGGCTGTGATCGAATCCACTCGCACTACTTGACCCTTCCCCACCACTGCTAGGATCGAAGCAGGGCTGCACCAACAAAGGTGCCAACCTTTACAGTAAAACATGTGATTTGTGTTTCTTGCTTGCTAGTTGTCGCTGGGATCCAATGTGTCCATTTCCTGGCGAGGAAAGCACAGGACAATCGGTCAATGAAGGCTCCACGTAGTATTTTCAAAAGCAGGCACCTTGGCCTCATCCTACACATCAAACGTCCAGAGTGACCCGTGCTCAGAACTAGTTACTGGTTCCTGGTCCCTCCTGGGGAAGTTCTACGTGCTCTTTGGACTCTTCGTGCAGCAGAACGTCCATTTGTGGGAGGTGGGAGCACTCAAACACAGATCATTCGACCAATAGCCCATCATACATTCATCTGGAAGAGTCAATTCATTTGCAGCACATCCAGCATGTAATGTATATGATATGGCAACTGGAGAGTGTCTGGCAATGCTTCCCGCCCCAAATGTGCCGGTATGTACAAGACCTTGAACTTAGAACTTGATATCATCAAAGAAACTCACCATGTTGGATGATCGTTGTTGCTGCAGAAGCATCCATCCTTGACGACCTAGTCTTTATTAGTCATTTACCTTATGACCTTCGAAGAAGGATTGATTGTACCTTATGTCCGTCTTGCCTTTATTTGTTGCTGCTCCTTGTTGCCTTCTGATTCTGACCTTCTCTGCCCCAGAACATCGCCGCATCGCCCAATGGAGCGACGGCGAGCGACTGATCGCATCACCCCGCGACTGAACGCACGAGATCGCGACGCCGGTCGTTTGGACATCCGAGCGCCGGGCAAGGCATCTTTGGGCTCGTCTCTTAAGATCTTGTAGAATTCCACCTCACAGATTCGGAGTTGGCTGGAGTGGTGCGGTACTTGGGGTGTGTGATGCACAGCATTTGTTCAAATGTTCAACGGGTGGGATGGGTTCATTCACTACTGCCCGTTGAGACTCCTCACAGAAATGCAGTGAATCATGTGCGAGTTCTCTGCGTTGCCACTCAAACTGCTGCGGGTTTAGGATTGACTGTCGACATTACTTGAGGATAGGATAGGCAGGATAGGTATATAGCAGGGATCCAACAGCGCATGTTTGGATGGTGGACACTGACAGATCCTCCACACCCAGCATCACCCAGCCCTGTTCACACCACCGTTGGACGGTTTTCTGAGGCTAGGGACAGCAGTCCAAAGCAAACCAAGCCTGGGAATGCTGATAGAATGAGGCGTGACGAAAAGGCCTTTGTGAGTTCGACCGTCCATGTATGAAAGAGTTAAATCGAGTAAATGATGGTAAATGTATATAAACATATATATATATATATCATATACATATAACTTGCATTAAAATGATTTAAATTGTATATAACTATTCCATGTAGTAGATACTATGTAGATACATGGATGGCCTGGGTCATGACAAGCTTTTTGGGTCAGCAGTCGAGTCATTTCTGTTCGGTCTCCAAAATCCGTCTCCGTCATCTGCCAAAACCTTTGAAGCAAGGTTTGAGATCCCTGCAACAAACAGCCGGAAGACGCCCGGTTGTAAACGAAGTACACTCACTGAAATAATCATGGAAGTGGAAAACCACTGTTTGTCGAGGAAAATGGTAATCCAAGGGGCCATGTTCCTCTTCCATGTATTTCAAGGAGTGTAAGGAGCATCGTCTGCAACCAAACCGGCCATGACATCCAGTTACCATGTTTGTTGGATTCAGAGTTACTACTGACTTTTTCTACAGTCACACACTCACGCACTCACTCACTCGCTCACCCACCCACACCCCTTCACTTACTCACTCCCCAATTCCCCCATTCCTTCCTTTGAGAGCTAATTACATTAAACTTCACATGTGGGGTTGTCCCGTCCTTTATGATTGTTTATGTTTTTCTGGTGGCATTGAGTTTAGATGGTTCCCACTGTTTCTGCAAAGCCACCCAGACTCCGCGCTCAGCTCAACCTCTTTTCGGTCTCAATCGAGAGTGGACGAAGTTGACCAGTCGGAAGGCAACCACTCGCTCGAGTTGAAGCCACGTTTGGCACGTTTGTTTGGTGTCCAAATGAATTGCCACAAACTTCCTCAAAACATCCACAAACTTCACCAGAAAAAAGACGCCCACAAACACATGTGCAAAGTCCACAAACTCCATCGAATCTTTTTTGAGCAAAAAGTGCGAGTTGATTCGAGCAAGGGCTGCGTGCCGCTGTGGGGCGAACGTTAACTGTTCCGGCGGTCACGCTGCCGCGTCAGCCGCGGAAGAAGGCGAACGCATCTGCGTGACGCTCTGCTGCTTTGGTCCGTGAGAACAGGTCGGTGTGGAGTTCAGGAGCCCGTGTGCCAGTGAAAAGCTTCCGAAAACCAGGTGCCTACAACAGCGTGGGTGTACCATGTCCCTCCAAGAAGGAACCTGTTGCCTTTGTCCACAGTTGTTGCTACTGTTGTTGCTGTTTGCAGGTTGTTCATGTATTACAGTGTTACAGCTCCATGCCGGGCAGGGCGAGCCGTGCTGTCCGCGGTTCCACGGGTCGGTCAGAACTGGGCTGCTCCTGTGAAGACGGCTGCTCCGAGGTCAGAACTGGGCTGGACCAGGTGGACAAGCCTACATTGCTTACATAGGTATAGACAGGACACCTGGACAGGAAGCACTAGATGATTAGATGGTCCTTGCATTTAAGTTCACAAGCTTGAGCTACACATGTTAGATTGGAAATCACGAAGCGCTGGATTTGAGAACTCTCAAAGCAATCTAGAAATGGATTCTTCTTAAGCTGACTTTAGGCAATCATCCTTCTTTGATGAAGAGTTGGAACCCAGAAAATAGACAATGGATTGGAGTGAACAAGAATTCATTCTTGTCCTCTTGAGTAGATCTTGGACGGTGAAGGGATGGAATGAACACTGCCTACGTTGCTCCGAGCCTAAGTATTGAAAGACATAAATGCGGATCCAAATGCTAGGTTAGAGTCAAGTCTTGAAACCACATTGATGTCAAAAACCCACAACTCTTGTTTGCTCATCAACTCCACCTTGGCCTGTGGTCGTCTTAGCCGTGACACCCAGTAGTCCTCCCGTTTGGTTTTGCAAATGCAGTTTCCCTTGCTTCACAACCAGCGAATCATTCTCCGTGCAGAACAGCATGCCGTTCCAGCATGCAAACAGCGGGGGTTTTCGTTCTGGGAATTCTTCCATCGTCTAACCAAACCACATGTTCTAATTGAACGAAACAAGAGTCTTGTTCTGCGCTGTACCTGAACACCAGGATACATCACATCATGCGACATGTCCATTGCCATGTCGTGGTCCCGGACAGCTGTCGTATGACGTCGCCTGGTGACGTGACGACTTCTCACGGACAGCTCGCCTCCGATCTCCACCTCCTGCGCGTCGTTGAGCCGCCGGGCTTCTTCGAGGCGGCGCCGGCGGCGCAGCAAGAAGGCACCCAGGAGAAGGGCCACCTGCACGCGGTGATTGGAGGGCAAAGGTCCTTTAGACTCCAAACGTGACCCCTGCTGGGCATTGGCATAGGAGTTGGGTCCGTGTTTGGGGTAGTTGCCGGTCCAAGCTAAAGGTCATTCAGGTTCTTTCTGAGTAGAGAGTTAATCTGGAAGAACATTTTACACCAGGTGAGGGACATGTGTTTACCGTATTTTTGCGGTGCTTGGGTTTCTTCCAAGTCAAACACCTGAAAGATGGAAACCAGTTTGATGCATAAGGGGAGGGTTCGTGCAAGCTTGAATCAAGGAAGATTCGCGGAGTTTACACGGGGGGGCAACACTAGTTTCGTCTCGCCATATCCACCGGAGGTGAAAGAGATCCGATGCTCGGCATGCGTTCTCCAAGCAAGAGAGGGACTCGAAGCAAAGGGGTCCACCCTGACAACCAGAACAAATTATGTATTACATGTTTTTCAAACTGTAAAGTATATTGAAATAGGGAAACCTCCCAGTTCGACCCCCTGTCAGGGAATTAGACCCATCCCAAACCCATGGGGAGGCTCTTCCTATCAAACTACACACCCAAATGTCACACATTGGAACCACTGCTGGGCGGACATGCTCCGAGTCCGCTTCGGCAGAGCCACTGCTGAGTCCGCTGTGACATAGAGGTTAAGCACAATCACCCCAGGTATTAGGTGGTATTAGCTATGGGAAACCAGGGTTGATGGAAAACCAGGTGTTGTACCTCTACCTGGTCTATGCAAAGATATGGAAAACTTAGTGTTGGAAGTTTTGAACGGCAAGTGGCAAATCAAAAGGCTGACGGCTTTTGGAGCATCAAGAAACCAACCATCCAACCAACAAACCAGGCAACCAGGCACATGCGCCGTGGAAAAAAATGCAATCAAATTCCCTGACAAAAACAACAACACATGCATCACTGTGACTGAGCACCACCTGAGAAATACATTAGCATTACTCATGTTCACTGATTAACGTGTCAATTATCCCCACAGAATAGACTTACTCTGTCCTCTTTTCCAGGGTGGTGTCCTACACGTAGTCGTTTCATGATATTTCAACCCCCCAGTTTACTCAACCACACTGACTCATGCCCTGAATTTGAAAGGAAACGCACCATCACACGATTTGAAAGGAAACCACCCTGCTCACGGTGGAAGTGGATGGCACGGTCCCTGGGGTCCCTGTGAAACCGAATTCCTTTACGAAGACATCGCGGTGTCTTCAGTCTCCACGACTTCCATGCGATGTCTGAGCTGCTCCCCGGTGTGGCTTCCAGTTCCGTGAAGCGAAGCGAGCCGAGGGGCCACGGCTAAGCTGCAAACCAAGTAGAGCAGCCAGGTCAAATCGGGCCTTGGAAACTGATCAACCGGTCACCATCAACGAGAGGAATGGAGGGTAGATGAACGATGGTATTCTGCCATATTCTGCCCACCTACTATGTCCAGCGCCATGAAAGTGGTCAACATGAAATCCCTATCTGTCCACCTCTACAATTTACTCGGAAACTCTGAACCTGCTGGGTGGGTGTCAAAACCAAAGGGAGCAGCCTGGCCGCTGTTTGGTCCACCCTGCCCGACCAGCTACGCCTCAAACAATGGCCATTTGCACTCAGTTCACCATGAATCATTGAATCATGGAGTTGTTGTTTTGCCATGTTTTGCCCACCCAAACCCAGCTTGTGTATGCGATCCACTTACTAATTACCCCACCACTGGACCCTGCATTCTGCACCGAAAGTTGCTATCCCAGCGGCCACTCTTTGGCTGGCTCCGGCGCGTATCGCGGATCCGGCACCGGAGGCCAGTCCGGAGCGCCGTCGAGGATCTTCGGCAGAAGAGGAGGATCCTTGGGACGGACGGATCGACTGATCGACTCAATGAATCGCCTTGTAGACATGTGGATGTAGCGAGTTCCATGCTGGTAGGTTGACCTCCTTTGTGCATCTCTGACTCACTAACATGGAAGTGGCAAATGGGTCCCTCGCACGACCAGGGTGTTTTTTTTTCCACTTCCATGTCATTAGTGAGTCGGAGTGTCGGAGTCTATTCTGTTCGTCCATTTCAGTGGGCCCCAGGGGCCCAGGGTTCCCGGTGCCATGGAGATCCACAGAAGTCTGTGTAGGGTAGAAGTCTGCGTAGGGTCCATTGGGGCTCTTCCCGAACGGTTCGGCATGTCGCAATGGACATGTCATGGCCTTCCCGGTGGCTCCAAGTTCTCTTCAGAGTCCCCTGATCCACTGACCCCAAAACATGCGAATTTCTTGGGAAGTCTCCTTGATCATCTGGATGTGGCGAGCCTTTTCGGGCCTGTTCTCCCGATCAAAGCCTGAAAGCCCGTCATAAAGTTTGCTCCAAAGGATGGGCTGAGCCATTTGCTCTGCAGGTAAGGCAGCAAAATGCTTGCAATTGCGAAACCAACACAGAGGTCAACTCGTGAACAGATTGTCGCAGTTTAATAAAGGGACATAGGTCACATAGCAACGACTTCTCCTATCTTCAGAAGTGGTTTGTCAATGCAAAAAGCAGTAGTTTTGCGAACTCACTTGATAGAAAACGTGTTTTGGGAGATTTGCGAACTTCACTCACCTTCAAGGTCTATATAATATATAATATTCATCTAATATGCTCGGACACGCAGCATTGCACATTATATAAGCATTACAAAACAACAATGTGTCATCCATAGAGGTACTAAAAAAGAACAACACAGATCATGATTACACACAATGTTTGAAACCCTCTTGCAAGTAGAGCCCAACGCCCGAATCAAACCTCAATTGACAACCACCCACCATCTGCCCACCTTATGGTTTGCTCTACGCCTCTGCAAACTCACATGTGGCCTGTAGGAAGACAGTCCTCCAGTTAGTTGACCATTTTTCAGAGGGTCAAAGCTGGTTTTCGGAGGGTATATTGATGTATATTGCAATGGGCAAATATAGAAAACATATATACTAAATAAAGCTAGGTGGCCAAACTCGAGAAAAATCCTTGGTAGTGCTTCTTAATTCTTCTTATGATTATTGTTACGTATTATTATTATGTCAGCCGGTGGTCCAAGTTGCCTTCCCATGTCACGTGGACAGCGGATTCCCCCCTGCCAATTCCCAGGCACTATGGCTGGACCATTCACAAAGTTGCTGCTGGGCGGAAGTCCGAAGCAAAAGCCTCAAGTCGACGGAGGGGCAGCGATGACCGGAGTCCTGACCTTCCCTTCGCTTCGGGAAGCCTTCCACAAATGAATAAGAACCTGTCGGACCTCTGTCAATCAAACTTGATCAAGTTGAGAGAATCAACGCCCTGAGGGTTTTTTTACTTCAAGTGCTGTCGAAAAGGATGGCTCCTGTCCTTGAGCAAATAGTTGGTGTTCAGGTTGGTGCCATGTCCCTCCCCCAATGACCGATCATTTTGGATGTTTCACTCTCCGCAGCCAAAACCAAGACATCTCGACTCCCGTGTTCAAGCAGCCTCAGGATGTCCACATGTTCCACAAGCGACTTGAATCTTGCAGTGGCTCAACAAAAAAGACGATGCGATTCTGCCCAGGTCCCTATGGGAAGAACAGTGTCTTTGGACCATCCTTCAACTCGGCAAATCGTGTGCCACGTATCTTCCGCATCTTCCATCCGCTGTGCCACGTATCCGCCATCCCACTCCGGTCCCTGCCCCCGGACAATCGGGGCGATCCGCGAAATGAGGTGGGGAAGTTCCGGCTTTTTGTTGGGTGGAAAATGCTGAAGATGCACTTGGATACCACGGAGGTCAGCGGTTGGGCCTCTTTCTGGCGACCCTCTCCCCTCTCTCTGTGCCACCTTTGAAGCTTGCCCAAGCAGCCGGAGGTGCCGACCAGGTAAGAATCTGCACAGGTCCCATTGTTTTCGGGATTCAAAAAGATCCGGGTCTCCTCAGAGGGACGAAACGCGGACGAAGGTTTCTGACGCTTCTGTTCAGAGGGCAACCCCGCGGCGGGGGGGGGGAGCTGGACATGAAGCTCTGGATGGGTCCGAGTGCAGGGAGGGGAGGTACTTATATAACTGTTTAATCTTTGACATGGTGCTCCCTTGGTGGCCCTAGGAATTCCTTGATGGCCCTGAACCATGTTCGTCGCTCGTGATCTTTGTGGAGGGATCAACTTTAGAAAGGAGCTCAGTTTCTTCCGCTAATTGAGGGACGAACAGTGGTGGTGTTTACGGATCGGCGATGGCTGCCTCTTAGCCATCAGTCAGGATGGAAGGGCCAAGGAGAGTGTCCCTTACACTGGGTCAGATTGCATAGCACTAGCGATTCTAGTACCGCGCGGTCCAGCCACATCTCTGGGTCTGGAACTTTGAAGGATTATGATTCTCAGGGTCAGGGTTCTTCGTCGTTTATGGCCCAAGTAGAGACCGATTCGTTGGGTTGGTCTATAAATTGATTAAACAACTCAAAGTAGAAGTCTTGTCACAGGACCTTCGAATGCAAATCGCTCACTATATCCAACGTTTGGAAGGATTCATGACACAGTTCCATCGACCATCCCCGGTCATTTCGGTGCCCGGCTCCAGGCCCAAGGCTCCAGGACATCCCGAAAGGCTTTGGCGCCCATGTCGCGGCGGAAGGCATAGAAGGCGACCCAGACCTTGCCTCGGCGGGTCTGGGGAGCTGAAGTTCTCTTAGACAAGGCACACTCAAGCTCAATCGGAAATAACGCCCAAGCAAGTTGTGAGGGGCAAAATAGATTTACTCATGTGATCGTGCTCCTTTCTCAACTACAGGGGTGGGGGCACCTTGTTGTTTTGTGTTTGTCAATTTTGGGGCCCCGATGTTTGACGTTTCATCTTCTCTTGAATGTTTGCCAATAGGATCCAATAAGCATGGGAAGATTGGGAAGCTATTTTGTGCAATCGGTGCTTGTTAATCCCAGAAACACATTTCCACAAGTCTATGATCGAGAAAAACAAACAGTAAACATGTTTTTCTTCCGCTTGTGACCGATCTCCGCCCATGCTCCGAGGCGCCCAAGCTGGTAATATAATAGCCCGCGCAGGCATTGGGGAACTCGCCAAAGGAGCGGTTGCAGGTTAGGTCAACAGTCGCACAGCGTTTCTGCAGTGCATCTTCCATTGCCACCGAGCATTCTTCCTTCTCCCTGGGCGCCACCAGCCCCCCGTACGTGCAGCGAGTCACATCGCCAGACTGATTATTAGGTTCTTTTTGTTTCAATAGCCTGGGGTGCACGGGTATCTCTCATTGCCCCCCCAAAAAAGAAACAAACCACAGGCGGATTCTGCGAATGGCAAAAGTAAAATCTGGGAGCAAACCCTCAGATCATCCACCCCAAATATGGACAGAATGGTCGTTCTGTGGCAAACTCGTTTTCAACTAATTACATGAAATCAGCATCTGCATAGTCACATGCGTGCACAAAGTACAGTTCGAGCACACAACATCCACATTCTCTTCGGGTGGATGGGGGAAATAGCATCAAATACACCGGCTGAATCGATGAACATCAGAATGGACACTGGTCCGTTCGGCACACTTCCACACCTTCTCCACGAAATGACCCGCAAAATTTGGAGTGGTGACCGGCACAAGCCTCCACACTCCAACACCCACCTCATTCGGTTCTGTGGATCCTTTGGGCTGCTTCCCCCGAGTTAGGTGGCAACTTCCACATGTGTTAGGTTCTGATGGTTCTGCGATGCTCTGTGGGTCCCTCAAGCCTAGAGCGTCTCTTTCCACATGCAGTGAAAGAACCCTATATAGGGCTCCTGGCCTCCATCCTCAGGTTCGGTGGTTGGGGTGGGTGCCAGGGGGGTCCAATTATCATCAAATACCTTCTCAGGATGTGGGCCAGGAGACCTGGGGATGATATTGATCGACGTTCGTTATCCCAATCGAAATCTTCGACTGGACTTTGGTGGCTCGATTGCCCTAAAGACCCATAACCTGATCATATTCTTAAGGGGCTGGTCATGCTCTATCCCAACCGCAACCCTTCAACAGGGTAGTAGTCCCAAGTAACTTTTAAGTCTAAAATGTCCAAAGCCTCCATGATCCTCCATGTCAAAGACCTGTCAGGTCATGGTTGCTGCTTAGCTGTGAGAGCTCCGGGAGTTCTCTAGACTTAGAGTGATCGGTACATGTTGCCCTGCTACCCCCCGTCTTTCTCCGTGGTTTGGATATCTATATATTATTTATATATTATATATATATCCCCCTTACTTGTGCATATCGGCTGAGAGATTGCATTTTATAGAGAATTTTGGCTATGAAATGGGTATACAGGGTATATTTCCTATAAAATGCCAAAACCAACCTATTTATAAAATGCCCAAACTTCAGGTAAGCATAGCAGCGACAAAAACAGGAGGTTTATAAAAAGGCCAAACCGACTCTTCAAGAAATCCTATAGCTCACCTATGAGGTGTTTATAAAATGACAAAACCAACCCTCGCTGTCAGCAACTTGATATTTTGACTCCTTCGCTCTCACCTCCCACACAATCCGTCCGCGGCCCATGCGCTGGCGACAAAATGTACATAGCCAGCTTTTAGGCAATTCATTGTCTCTTGAAAAAACTGTGTCTGGAATCCTGTGGATTCACATCGCAATCTCATTGTCAATCTTTGCAGAGCGAACATCACTGATGAGAGCCAACCATTTTGTGCGGCTGGGCTTTTCATTTCTCATCTCATCCAAAGCGCTCCCCAACTCTGCGCAAACCGCTGCACCATAGCTGTCACCTTTTCTTTTGTCAAAGAATTTGAATTGGTAGTACGCTGGAGCTTGGTTCACAAAGTCCGCAAAGGAGTACTGTTCACTGATCGTCTTGATTTTGCACATCTGCGTCTTTGCATCAAAGGCCGGGTTTGCAAAGTGAAGCTGGTCCAAACTGGCCATTTTGACGAGGATGCTTTTGATCTTCTTTCGGCCTGCTTCCGATCTCCTGATATCTTGCGGCTTGATGGACTCTGGCTGAGCACTCGATTCCTTCTCAGCCTTCTTCATGAGAGTCTTTGCTGCGCGATGGAAGCCTTTGAAGACCTTGCTGAAATTGATCTTGGATGAAGTCTTCCGCCGTCGCTTTGGAGAAGAAGGTTCCACTTCTGGCTTGTTCTCGGATTGCACTTCGGCAAAAACATCCAGGGACTCTGGAGTCAGAGTCAACCTTCCAGAGGCCACATCCGACAGCGAAGCATCAATGTCCAAAATAGCTAGGACATGTGAAGACGAAAATATCCAAGAATTCGAGGTAGGTTCAAAGACGATCTTGCCATTCTCCTCCTTTCCCTTGAGTTGGACGGCCCGGAAGCTTTTGATGTGGGAGAGCGGCACAGGCTGAGCGCCTCAGAGCGATTCAAAGGTGAAAATGCAGAACATAGATCCAAAATGATCCAAAAATTGGCAGAAACCCCACAATAGGATGCACAACCATACCCAATCTATCGTACCCAACCCACAGTTTCTTGAACACAACACTGAGTCACAGGGTCGTGGCTTTTTTCGCAACAGGAAACACCGTCATTACCAGCGCCACTGTAGGCACTTGATCTGGTCCCATGTTCAGAACGATCACGTTTCCCATCCTTGGCTAGGCTCAACAAAAGCAACATACATATATAAAATGCTTGTCGTGGGTTATTCACTTTATTCATTATAGTGTCTGGCCATCAAAGGCATTTTATAAAAGCGCACTTTCACCCAAAAAACAAACAACAACAAATATATATATATATATATGAAATGTGTGCTTTAGAAGCTTCAATTAAAAATGGCAAGCGGACCCCCATCACCTCATTTCATAGAAGCATGAATAAACCAACAAATACAAAAAATGATCAACAGATATCAAAAGATCTCAAAAGTAGATATCTATATAAATAGATACAAATAGATATCACTAGACCATACTAGCACAGATTCTGCAACTTATCTGTCTCGTCGGACCCATCCTTCTTGGCCTTCAATGATCGCACAATCCACTTGGAGGCCCGGCTGCCCTTCTGCCCCGCCAGCATTCCTTCACCATCTTCTTCTTGCAGCCGCATCTCCTTCAGCTGGTGCTCCATAGTCCTCATCAACACAAAATGACATCAAATGAATACATATTGACCAAATTTGACAAATATTTACCAGATGTCAAAATTTAAAACAGTCATAGCCACGGCAACCATGGCCACATAAATAGAGTGCACACAGATTGCAAAACAAACACCCAGGGACTGGTGCCAGTTGAGCTTTCTCGATCGTGCCCTTACCAGCTCAGCCCTTTTCAAGAACATGCTGTCCATTCCATCTTCTCCGCAACGAAGGAAAACAGCTAACCCCCACAAGGAAGACCACATGTTCTTGGACGCGACTGCCTGTTTCAGGGTGCGAGGAAATTCAGAATTCATTGGCCTGGCAGCCTTTGAATTCTTGTCCGGCTAACTCTGGTCCGTCTGGCAGCCTTGCATCAGTGTCTTGAGGTCTTGAGATGCCATCTGCATTCTCTCGGAGAAGCTCCTCTGGGTCATCTGGATCACATTGTGCAAACTCTTGAGTGGCAACAGATGTGATTTCATTCAAGACCGTCTCAATTTCATGGCCTTTTTCATGTCCATCTTGGATCGCCTGCACCGAGTCTGGAATGGCATCCTCTAGGAGGTCATCTGCTTCATCATCAGCAACCTCAAAGAACTCCCCAATGCTTTCACACCGGTATGACTTCTCAAGTTGCTCCTTCGGCACACCACTGCACTCAGACACCAAGTGCAAAGCGGCCGCCAAAGCATTTCTTGCACAGGATCGAAGCCTGAACAGTTTTAGTCCAAGTAGTTTCAAGTCAGAGTTGAAACCACTATAAAATGACCTGTTTAGGGCAATATAGTTTTACATGAGAGACGTCTTGCAGTCATTTTATTTTATACAGACTGAGAGTCACTGTTTCAATGAATGCACACTTTTCTGACATTTATAAAATGAAATTCCAACATATGAAAGTGACCGGCGCCCCATATCCAACTTTTTTGATATGTATATATAAAATGAAATTCGCACGTATGAAAATGACCACACACACACCCCATATCTCCCTATATTCATTTCATAAACCCCCCGAGCACAAACCAAGTCACTGATCGGGCGACAGGGGCTCTTCCTCGACCAGGTCATTTGGCTCCTTCACCCGCTTCTTGGCTGTCTTCCTTGCCACCCTTGCAGCCGCATTGAAGTAGCCTCTTGGTGTGAGATCACTGTCATTATACTGACTGCGGAGCTGTCCAAAGTACTGCTCAATGTGGACTTCTGACAAGGAGTGACTCTTCTGAAATGGAGACCAATCCTTTGGCTTTGTGGCACAAATTGCCACACAGGTCATGGCGATGCC